ATCTCGAATGCATAATGATTGTACCAAATGAGTTCACTGATAACGGTTCTAGGAGTCGATCAAGCATCTCGTAGAGACAAGCAGAGAGGAGTAAACTGTGCACATGAAATCTACCGCACCATGGAAAGCTTGCTGAGAAGGTGCGGATCGTCATCATGCGGATAAGCAGGCAAACCAGTACACAATTAGTCGCTGCTTGAGACACGTGTGCCACATCCCATCGATACTGAAAGTGATAGAACATCAGCGCCTAGCGCTTGTTCTTCACCTGTTTGATCTCGTGGCGAAGCAGGGTGCGTTATCAAGGATTATATACATATACGGTTGCAGAATCGAGTGTGGTGCATGATAGCACCGAGCTTTCGAGCGGGTTTACTGTGCACAGAACGAAGGGATTAGTAACTGGGATATGACGGGCGTTTATGAAAAGAGGCAGTGACGATGGAAGAAGCGAAATGAGATCCACGCTGCAGCTGCGTGGTACAGAGCCAACAAGAACTCTGGATAAACACCTACATGACTTCCCACTCACCACACACAAGATCCCAAACACACCGATATTTTAAACGTATGGTCCTTGTCAACTTCAAATACTACTGAGACTATCTCTCTGTCTAGGTCAACGCGAGATGTCAGAGGTGCCTGATGCAAAAAATGCGGATCTCACTTTGAGTGGGCAGTTGGTGCCGGCACAGACAATGCAAGGAAAACTGGTGCCAACGCGGATAATGCAAGGGTACACAGACAGTGTGAGGGCATCCGCGTTCTTCAAAGATGGTAAACGAGTCGTCACTGGTTCAGTTGATCAAACCCTGCGAATCTGGGACGTGGAGAAAGGAACATCGGTAGGAGGGCCATTCGAGGGTCACATTGGCGGAGTGCAAGCAGTTGCCGTATCACCAGACGACAGGCGAATTGCGAGTGGTGGAGAAGATCACACCATCATTATCTGGGACGTTGAGACAAAGCAGAAAGTACTCAAACCGCTTGTGGGGCATGGGTGGTGGGTGTGGTCGGTGTGCTTCTCCCCCGATGGCAAGAGAATAGCCAGCGGCTCGGGCGATTGTACAGTTATTGTATGGAACGCTGAGACTGGCACTGTCCTCTCAACACTGTACGGTCATGATCTTGGGGTGTATTGTGTTGCATTCAGCCCAGACGGGCTAAATTTAGCCTCCGGATCAATGGACTGTACTATTCGGGTATGGCGCACCGATAATGCCGAACTTCTTCTCAACATCAAAGCTCATCACGATTGGGTTCGAAGTGTTGTGTGGTCGCCTGACAGCAAGCAACTTGTCTCCGCTTCATCCGACAAAACAGTCAAGTTTTGGGACTCGTTAAATGGAGACCAGATCGGTCAGCCTTGCACCGGTCACGTTGCCCGCATCCACTCGCTCGCCATCTCCTCTGCTGGTTCCTTCATCGCCACTTCATCGGACGACAAGACTGTGCGGCTGTGGTGCACAAAGACGCACCAGCACATAGGACAGCCACTCGAGCACACCGCCTGGGTTCGGAGTGTCGCAATCTCTGCCAATGGAGAACTGCTTGTCAGCGGAGACGACAAAGGGAAAGGTTCGGCGCTGGTCTATCAAGGACATACTTGAGCAACGCAAGGCGGAGGAAAGAATCCAGGAAGATGAAGCAGTACAGCGACAGCAACTCTTTACTCTTAATGACACGCAGGTGCGCTCTTATCCATTGATTGTCTGCCGGTCTATTCATTCGCATCCTTCTCGGTGGCGACACAGACGCGCAGTGAAAACAACAACGAACTCTGCAACACGAGTAATCATTCTTCGGAAAGTCACCAAGCATCTGGCAGTGACGAAAAAAACTCATTATCTGACGTGAGCGGTTTGTTTTTGATGCGTGTACTTATCACGGAATGTGAGCTTGCTTCATGCAGATCCCCGCTATAAATTTGACAGTCCGCAATGCATGCATGACTGGGGATCTGCATACCGCTGATGACCTGCTAACTCGAGAGATCGACGCAGATGACAACAGCCACGACTCCTATGCCACTCGATCACTTGTGAGAGCGCGAAACTCCGAGTGGGACAAGGCACTTCAAGACGCAGTCAAGGTCCGATGCTCTGCATCTTATCATGCTGCTTACATTGACTCTTCTTGGTGACATAGTCAATCGTCATCCAGCCCTCGTTATGGGGCTACATTTCCAAGGCCATCGCTCTCTGTGGCAACAAGCAGCTCTGTGAAGCAATGGAAGCTTTCGATCTCGCCTTCGTATTTTCAAATCGTGATCCCATTACCGTCGGTATTTTACTATTGATCAAGGTGCTCTCGTCGCTGCTTTCACTATTTGTCTGCTATACTAATACTTCCTTATCATGTTGTCCAGGCTGTTGCACTTTTCAATGGCGGTCGCCACAATGAGGCAATGCGACGAGTTCAAGACCTCAGCACTACTTATCAACGCTCAGATACGCTTCCCTGCGGAGTTGTCAACGTGGGCTTTATGTTAGACCTCACGAGTTGTCTCTCTAACGCACTCGTCAGTCGTATCTACGCGTGCAGTTTGCCATAATTGCTTTCGAGAATGGGCGGTACAGCGAAGCTGCCGATCAACTCAACGATAGTATTCCCGGTATAACCGACCTGTTCTCTCGTAGAACACTTTTTGAACCTAGATTGAAGATATTCACGGCGGCGAGTCATTACAAAGCCACACAGTCTACTTCTACTGATTCACACGATGTTAAACAGCTCTTCGGCTGGAATCTGGATACATTATGGCAAACTGTCAACCAAAGACGGTGCGACGCATTCCTCCGCGCCGATCGAGTGATCGAGGCTGTCGAATCTTATCAATATATGATGCGCACGATTGAAGAGGCCGCGAAGCCTAGCTACATCGAGTGGGCTACCGGTGAGTGTCTTTGGGACCTGGGTCACTTGAACATCAAGACTCATCACGGTATCGATTAGCCTTCAAGCAAGACTGCACTGCACGCTGTGTCACGAAGGGAGATGCAGCTACTGCCGCAAGTAATCATGAGACGGCTATTGAATTGTATTCGGCAGCGATTACGCTGGATTCCTCGTGCCACTCGCTCTTTGCGCACCGTAGTAAGGCGAATTTGGGACGAAACCTATATGTGGAGGCCCTTCAGGATGCGGAAAAGGTGCAATATCCGTCAATTTTCTGGTGATCATGCTGATTGTGCCGATGAATAGGTCGTCGAACTCAACCTCTTCATCTTATGTTGGGTACGAACTAAAGCATGCAGCGCTTCACGGAGCACAACGCGATGATGAAGCAGCCAAGGCCTTCAAAACAATGCTCTCCAAGTTGGATGTTGCTCCATATGCGCAGATACGAAGTAAGCCCTGAAGAACTCATCGATCAACTCGAAGATGATGACATTTCCCTCCAGATCTATGTCAACACTATGTCAGCCCATCAGATGCAGAAGAGACTATTGGACGAATCATTCATGCTCAATTGGAAAATGCCCCGCTTCGTCTACTCATTCCCAACCCTCTCCCATTGTCCGTTTTTGTTGATGCTTCTACTTCATTTGGTATCGGTATCCTCGCTGACTCCCGCTGGCTTGCTTGGGAATGGTTGGATGGCTGGAAGGCAGATGGTCGAGACATCGGGTGGGCAGAAATGGTAGCGATTGACCTCGGTCTTCGCACCCTTGTCCACTCGGGTCTTCGTGATGTGCACGTGCGGTTCCATTCCGACCATCAGGGTGTTGTTGGAGCCCTCAAAACTGGTCGTTCTCGCAGTCCAGCCCAAAACGATATTCTGCGCCGTCTCTCCTCCTTTGCTGTCGACCACGACATCTGGATTTCTGTTGAATGGGTGAAGTCGGCCCATAATCTAGCAGATAGCATCTCTCGTGGCGTCTTTCCCAATTCTGGCTCTCGTTTCAGCTCCCCTCCTCCCTTGCCTGCTTATCTTAGACCTTTTGTCCGCTTGGTGTAGTTTGGTAGTTCCCCTCGCGTGTTTATCATCGTTCAAGTTTGTCGTCTCATGACGTGCCATCTTGTCTTCTGACCCGATCCTTCTTATTCGGTATTCGATATCACCGATCCTTGCTACATTGATATCCAGCAGAAGACATTAGTCAAGCACCCCTTTTCGAATCACTTATGTCGCACTCCCTGTGCCCTGAGCCTCCCGTTCCCAAACTAGATTACTCATACCCTGCCTCTTCATTCCTCGTTAATGTGGCGTCATACGAGCTGCAAGTGCGACTCATCCGTCTCTTCGCATGATCAGACCAAATCCCGCTCGCCTCTGCAGAATCCGCCGTATCTCGGCACCTGGCCAACCACCCTTGTATCCACTTCACGGCCACGATTCTAACGAAGGTCATTATCGACCAGAAAAAATGGGCCAAGTAAGTACTAGATGGATGTGTACATTTAACGCACTTTTTGTGTGGATGAGCCAACCGCGATCTGACTCTGATAAGGACGAAATAATGTTCAGGATGTCGAATATCAATTATGACGCAGGCTCCGCGAATATTCCTCACCACTGATCACTTACCCCTAATTTTAACCCCTCTCAACAACCTCGAACATGACAACTTACCCCCCAGACGTATATCAGCCCGCAGCCCCCGCTCGCCATGATGCTTTTCCGCCGCACTCATCCAATTATGTCGCACCGACGGTATATCACACATCCTGACAGTGAGCGAGTCACTTATGACAGTGCCTCACCAGACATCCGAGTCGGCCCCTCCTGCTGAGGGGTCCACTTCACACCAAAAGCAGATGCAACCCACAAACCCAATGAACCCTTCCGAGACACCACAAAAGGAAGGGGAACACCTTGAGCAGAGCCAAGAGAAAGGGGATCAAACACAGAGCTCTGTGTCGGATTCAGGGCCACCAGGCAATCAAACTCGACCCCGCACCTATTGGCACTATAGCCTGTTTAGTTGCTGGGATGACGCTGAGACCTGTGAGTCCCATTCAATCTTACCACAAAGCGAATCAATCCACAAACTGGGTTCACAGATTGTACGTCATGTTGGTGTCCTTGCATAATGTATGGGAAAAACCGGCAGCGACTTGATCACTTGCAAGACAACGACACGGCGGATCCGGAACATGGTGGTTCGGGCTGTGGTCCTGATTGTGTCATGCATCTATTACTCAATTTTTGCGGTGGTTTTGGCTGGGTACTGCAGGTGAGCTCAGATTTTGGCGTTCTCCACAGGTCCATGTTAAGAAATTTGCTAGGTTGGCCAAAGGGGAACGTTGAGAACGCGTTACCACATTGACGGAAACCTTGTCAACGATTGCCTAACTGCATACTTTTGCACCCCATGTGAACTCACCCAAGAGAGTCGAGAATTGCAAGAGGAGGAAACAGCTATTTCTAACACCAACACCGAGGGGCAGACTCATGACACGTAATACATTTTTCTCTAAGTTCCAATAGCACAGAGAAGTGTGATATGTAGTAAATATGCAGTGCACGAGTAATACACAAGCACATGCGACTCGACCATTTTTCGTTTTTGACCAGTGCGAACCTGGGTGATTTTTCGTCGTTTCCGCAACGAACATATATAGGTAGGTTACGGTTGAGCGGATTACCAATTTTGTTTGTTTGGCAAAAGCCTTTGATCCAAACAACCGTTGTAAAAATCGACTTGATCTGCCGTCGCCATGTCTGTTTTACCGAAAAGTCTGTCGGGTTTCACTCTCATTCCATTCCAATTACATATCAAAGTTCAACACATTTTATCTATGCACGGGCTCATGTCACCTCTAAATCCAAAACATTGAAACCCGGCAACATTTTCCCTGAAGGATGGACTGAACGTGCCTCCATTAACTCTTTCACCAGAGGGGCTCCAGCAGTATATCAGTCCATCCGAAGCAGATAACGCTAGTCTAAGAGCCATTGATGCTCAACTCGAAAACGGCCCCGTTTCGTCTACTCAACATCTCTACTAGACTTCTATGCGATCGAGGGGCACAAATCAACGCCTTCATGAAAAGCATAGAGTACAAGGAGATATTGTCATCGTCGACGATGCGTGCGCCCCTCCAAAGGGAGCCCATCAATGATACAGGTAGCGAAATACTTCGGTTGGGCCATGCTATCACATAGGTGGCAAAGCAACGAGCTGCTGCTGCATGGCATCCAGAACAAGGTCGTGTATGATTTAGATCCAGTCGGAACCACGTTGAAGTTGCAGACATTCAGCAACATTACTTGTGACGCATGGTATCGCTGGGCGTGAAGCAACGCATGCTACATTGACCAGAAAAACAATGTTGAGCTCCAAGCCTCAGTCAACTCCATGTTTATCTGGTATCGCCGCTCAGCACTCACGATTGTTTACCTATCGGATGTTCCGCATTCCTCGACGTCTGGTGTACTCACAAACAGTGTTTGGGACACACGAGGATGGACTGTCCAGGAGTTCCTGGCCCCTGACACTGTTCTCTTCTACCGAGTAGATTGGACTCTATATCTCGATGACCATTCTTCCAACCACAAAATTTCTGTGGCTATCATGCAGGAGTTGAGGGATTCGACAGGTATAGATGCAGCGGGCGCTTGTTGCCTTCCATGGGAGATGAGAGGCGCCCGAGAGAAACTTCAGTGGGCGTCAGATCGTGTCACCACGTTGCCAGAAGACATTGCATATTCGTTGTTTGGCATCTTCAGCACCCACCTACCTCTAATCTACGGCGAGAAGAAGCAGAATGTGCTTGGTCGGCTCTTGCAGGAGATTGTGACTCAGTCAGGCGACATTACAGCCCTGGACTGGGTTGGAAAGTCATCTGAGTTCAATAGCTATCTGCCAGCCGAAATTATCTCGTATAAACCTCCGCCTTGCACCCTTCCATCTCTATCTAAAGATCAGATACAGGCTTCCATCTTGTCGCTGCGAAATGCCGCTGTTATAGAGCTGGCATTTACACTGTATTGCCGGCTTGCCAGTCTGAGCGCTCCTCGTTTCGCGAACCACAGGCTGCAACTTCCTTGCATCGCATTCCCCGTCACAGCGCTCAGACGGGATGGAGGCATGGTCAAGAGTGGGAGACATATTTCACTTATGATGTCAAGGCGGTCGGGCTTGACGACATGCTAATCACTACAGAAGACAAGCTGCGGCCCGCTTTGCGTACATTCTTACTCATCCGTCCGTAGAATCGGCATGATCTTGGGCCGCCAGATGATGCAGACGATGCACAGAGCGTGAATGATTGGTCAGAGCTCGAGTCCCCATCAGACGAGCCACTCAGTGGGTATCCTGGAGGGGATGAGCCGATTGATCTGGAGTCGAGCGAGCAAGCGTTGAGGTTGCTCGTTCACCTTGGACATCCCTTCGGTGCACTTTTGCTAGCGCAGCGGTACGGTTGGGAATACAAGAGGATCGCGTCGGATCACAATATCATCATCGCACGAGTGAAGGACATGACCTCTGTTGGTAACATGAAGATGTAAGGATGCTAGAAATATTGTAGTTGTAGTTGTATGCATTTCGAAGAACGGGGATCTCTGACGCATTGTCATTCGCACCTTGCTAATACCTGCGTGGAACAATCTCCCCAGGCATTTGTATTATATCGTACGCTAATTCAACTTACAGTACATCATTGGAAACACTGCCAAGATTTAAATTGTACATGCGACTGAATCGTCGCTGGGAGCACTAGCTCAGTAGGTGTTTGTCCCACCCGCCCCAGTCACTTATCATGCCAGTCGGGCGCAATGGCACCTTGGTGAGGATGGAGGATGATGTGCCAAGGCTCAAGACACCACCCCCTGCCGCATTCCCCCTCCATTATTATCATCAACGAGGCACGAGTATGTAACACAGATGTATTCACAACAGTCATTCCCCGTTTTTCACACTCTACTCCTTCACATTCTACTTTCCATTACAGATACCCTGCCATCAAACTACACACCAATATGTAGTGCCACATTTTGTTTGTGCGACTATAAAAGAGGATTCGCCTTAGACAGTCTGCGCATCTGTGATGCAATACATAAGAACGAATACATTGAGTGAGCCCTACAGTGCCAGCCAATTTACTACTTTCCAGTCAGTTTCGGTCTTCGTTGATACAGCCGCCCCCCTATTCAATTTATGATAACAATCTGTACGAGGCTCGGCTTCAGCACATCGAATACTCGGACACTTCTCACGACTGAGGGATAGACCACGGAGTCCACAATCGCGGAGGGGTACAATTCTACGTTATCTGAGAGGACTGAAGTGGTAAATGCAGTACAAATGACGAAGTATGGAAAAAGTCGCATGTTAGTTAGACCGTCTAAGAATCTTAGTCTGTCTTGCAACTCTTGTCGCATTTTATATTGAAACAAGGCCATTTCCCTTGACAATACGGCTGTAGTCACTTTGATTTCCTTCAAATTTGAATGACGGGAGAACTGACGGGTTGCGCTAGGTTGCGCTGGCAGAATCGAGTATACCATTGAGAGGATCGTGATGTGCCTGAACATGATTGTAAGCATTGCTCAAGGTCAGGGTAGTGAGCATAAGTGACATTACGAAATTGCCGTACTCACCCCTACCTTCGAGTTCCTCTGACCCATCTACATCTTATATCTCACACTACCAACGCTCTCCGGCGGTTCACACGGATTATCTTCCCCGGCTTCTTGGTAGCATTGTGCATTTACATGGCCTCGTAGTCGGTACTGAGATGGTCATTTATCAGGATCATTCATTGTTTCGATACCAAGCCAAAGACTTTTGATATATACTTACCAGCGTGAATCGTGATACCTGAGATGAAGAAATCAGAGAAACCAGGCCCCTGCCTACGGCAGCGCATGGACCCGTCAAGAGCGATGACAACGTTTGTTAAAGGTGATTTGAGATATGTTGAAGGGTTTGCATCGCTGACAAACTCTGCTGGTAATTAGCCTGTGGGCACAGTGCACTCCAACATCAAACGAGATAACCCATTGCACATGAAGTAGGTAGTTATGCAGATAGATAGTTAATGTGCAAGTAAGCATAGGAGAGATCATGACATATGAGTAATTAAAAAAATATGCTAGCGGCCCGGCGCCTGCATAATAAAGATGCCAGCGTCATAATAAATACTGAAGAGCGAGTACATATTAGTACGAAAACCTATGCGGGGGGTCAAACCAAGGAAGGGAAGGGAACCCGCGTATGGTAAAGAAAGCAAGATGAGAAACCGGCGAGAACGAATCTGAGAAGTGATGAACGTCAACCTCGACCTGGAAATGTTGTAGGCCGGTAACGAAGAACCGCATGAAAGAACAGAATAGACGGTAAGCAAAGAGGGGAACGGGGTATAGAATAATGGTCGACTACTAAGTATGCATAATTGTTACGGTTGCAGCCATGTGTTGGGAGACCGAGGTAGCCCCAGAAGCGGGGGGTGACTGAGCCAATAGGGATGCGATCACAGGAAGTCCCAAGGCGACATCTAGTCTACATTTGAAAAAAGCATCATCCTGCTGCATTTCGAACGAGATAAGAATGAATGCAGTGCAGCCGATTTACTTTCCGGTCAGTTTCATTCTCCATTGATGCAGCTTCTCCCCTATTCAATGATACCGATCTGCATGATGAGCTCCATACTGAAGACTCGTGAGACACTGCTCACGGCTGAGGGAGAAGCCACGGAGCCCACAATAAAGAGGGTCCGATACTACGCCATCGGAAAGAAGTGAGATAGTCAATGAGGCACAAAATCAAACGACGAAGTATGGGAAAGTCGCATGATAGATGGCAATAGTTAGGCTGTCTTGTGACTCTTGTCGCATTTTATATTGAAACAAGCGCCCCCTCGACGCCGCGGCTGTAATCGCTGTTATTTCCTTCACAATTGATAACGGAACAATGTCGGGTTACGCTGGCAGAATATCATAGACCAGCATAGATGTGCGACCATATAAGCTGGACTGGAATGCATGATGCGGCGTGACGGACGAGATTTCAAATCATAGTACTCACTACATAAGCTCTTAGGATCGCTCTTCCTATTAGACTCACAATGCAGCTCTCCCTTGTTTTCACCACACTCGTGTCCTTTGTCGCTCTTGCGGCGGCTTATCCCGCACTAGACACAATTGGGACAAAACGTGCTTGTGAGGACTTGTGCACTGTCACTGGAATCAGCGAGACTGATATGATACGCAGCTTTGGACAAACGCGAAGAAGACCACATCATCAACTACGAAAGTTATGGAGGCCTACGTAATCATTGGGAGTGTGAGTATTTGTGTACTTCCACTCGAATCAGCAAGACTGATATGGCACGCAGTTTTGGATAAGCGCGAAGAGGGACGGCACATCAGCTACGAAGATTGAACTTACGTAGGCTAAGCGGTCGATGTTGAGACGCGTTGTGAGTTATGTACTGCCATTCGAATCAGCGAGACTGATGTGCCACACAGCATTGGACAAACGCGAAGACCTCGAGGGTTAATAGTGTCTCCGGACGAGGCACTGTTTTTTTCAGTTTTCGAGTGTACTATCATCTAAAACGAAGGAGATTCGTTACGGTACTAGTGTTTGGATCTCGTCACATTCTTGTAGTTTGCTGCAGCCGAATGCTTTCAATATTGCCTGTCGTGAAATTCACTTGCCAGTTGTTTGTTTCAGCTTCGAAGCCTGACGTGAGCAGGTCAAATTTGTGAACAAGTATGTCCAGAATGCAACCAGAATGTTAACGTTCACCTTCCACCGTGACATTGAGACCATCTCGGTCAAACAAATATGACGTGACTGGTGCTCCTGTTTTCTTCGGCCAGTCCCTCTGCCTCTACCTACCTGCCGCTGGTCTGTTGAAAGTGTGGAAAGGATTTAAGCGTGACACTGCAATGCAGACCAAGAGCCTGCCTCTAGCGAGGCTGGCAATGATGATCGATGATGAGCACTGTCGATGTCAAATGAGCTTAGTCTAGCTAAGGTAGTTCTCAAGCGCGTTCATCGAACCTCACGTGATGTGACAGGGCCGTGACACTCTCGAGGATAAGCTTAGGATAAGTAACAAACAAGCTAAAATGCAGTATGTATCGGAAATGTGAGAGTGCAACAGGAAAACAAAAAGAATATAATATATTCTACCAACAGAATCTGTGTGCTATAGATTCAAATCTCTTGTAAAGTATCATATGGATACCAGTACAAGTTAGTCTGAGTGTTGTGTATTACGATTTGGGAAGTTTGAATCACTGACACCAAAGGTTACTGGTTAGGTTGCACATGTTATCTGTCAATTAGCTGTTAATTGTTACCCAGGAATTGAATTTACACTTGGTCTCTATTTGATCTGCCTGACAGGGGAAACTAGGTAAAAGTGAAGACGTTAACATCCCAAACTCGTTCCTCATCTTTTCAAAAATCGGAAAGTACTTGCAAGTTTCTATCATACGATACCCTGCGTTTTTGTGTGCTCCCATATTTATTATATGTCTCGTAGTCGAATTATTATGTATGTTTTTCCATTTATCACGCAAAATTCAAATGTAACACTTGATCACGTGAGGTTCGATGAACGCGCTTGAGAACTACCTTACCATTCCGAAATGTATCATAGGGCCTATTTGGGCGCTTACTATGGCTTGTTGAGCTAACTACAAAGTGATGTCTGCGAAATTTCTATCACCGATGCTATCTAGCGTGACTCGCGATAAAATTTCGCAGATCAGGTCAGTGGTATGACTGGCCGACGAAGGACTGATCGGCAGGATTTAGTGAAGGCTAAATGCTAGAGCCAGTGACACGACTTTCTTCAGTTGGGGGTGGGGGTTTTGGCTGTGGTCTGGTTCGGCTTTTGCCGGGCAGTGCAGACAAAGATATCCGCCAGGTCGATGAGTAAATGGGTGCAAAAAGAATCGACCGGGGGATAAGACACAGCCGGAAACCCTCGAGTGTGAAGCAGAGGTATTTGGGAAGTTTTCTGAAACACGACACAACCCGAAACGAGCAAGTGCTTACACCAGAGTTGTGCAGAAAACACCGACCCCCAACTTACGAAGACTTGTGAGTAACGAGCGCGAACGCGAACGGGATACATGCACAAACCATCTGTATCTATGCTCATAAGAGTCCATTGAGGCTTTAATGAGGGAAAAACGCGAATCTTGCAGAGAACTAGCTATGAAGGTAGGCAGAATTGACTCGATATGACGCCAATAGTCTAAGAATGATCTGGACTTCCAACGTCCTTGAGTGGCGACTATGTCGGGGGGAGTGCCTCTAAGTAACAGTTCGGTAGCCCCGCCGATGCGAAAGCAATGTCCAGACAAAGTTTCTAAGCCTTCCGACTTCCAAATGTTGTTGCACCGAGTAATGAACCATGGACGTGTCAACAGAGCCCAGCCTGTCTCTGTCTCGAATGCGAAGAGAGGTGCTGATGGGGGGACGGCTGAGTTGACGGAAATGTGGTGAATGAGTGCATCATAAGGATTAGTAGGGTCGTCGACCTTGGAAACAGTTATGAAATCCCCGTCGCCATGCGTGGTTTTTGTCCAAGGGATGTGAAAAGATGCATAATTGGCACCGCCTGCGGTCGTGCGATACGTGATGGTGACAGAGCGAGAAACGTGATGTGTGGGTTCGAAGGCATTAAGTGATGGGGTTATAAGTTCTCCAAGTCTAGGGAGGGTGAGTCTATGAATGATGAACGTAAATGTGATAGTACCTGCAACAGGACCAAAAAGCGACACTGGCTGTGCAGTAGACAGCTGCGTCAAAGGAATTGGAAAGATCAAGACAGCGAAACAGGGCATGCATGTGGTCTAATGTTACGGGTGGTCGACGAGGTCGTTTCGATGTCTCAGGAACGACTTTAGCCAGCCCTTGTTTAGCCCTTCGGAGGAGAGCATGGCCATGCCACTGTGCCCTGTTCATTTGATGCCAAAAATGCAGCCCTGCTAGCCAATTTTCTGCGGTTGTCTCGGCGACGCGACCCGCCCAAGAGGAAATGAAAGCTGCTATAAGATGTTCTGATGCTGGTAAGCGACGGTCTTCTGGGATGGAAATCGAGTCACAGAATTGATGGAAACGGAGTAGGCCTGCGCCGTAGTTCTCGCGCGTTTTGGGTTTGACGGAGATTAAGACAACGTCAAGTAAACGAGATGCAGTGTTCAGTGGAAGATCATTGAGGAGGGTTGAGTGGAAGGAGTCTGAATGAGGCGCGGACCAGAGATGAACTCTGTCGCGAGCAAGAACATGAGGCCGATACTGGGAAGGTGCAATTTCATTATGTGTTTTTGGTTTACAAGGCTTAGGGATCTTGTGAGCAGCTGTGGGCGGCATTCCAATCTCGGGTTGTCTCTTCAAGGCGTTCCGAAGCTGGACCATAGCTGACACCAAGTCAGCACTTGCTGACGGTGATGCAGGTGCATCAGACATAAGTCACAATGTATGGTACCAGCTCTGCGGGCAGCTGGAGGAAGGGTAGACGAGAGCTAGCTGGGCCTGTCTCGCCACGAGAGACAGGGTCCGCCTTGTTGGCTAGCGACTCGGTGTATAAAAGGTGATGTAACATGTTGGAATCCATAGCGATGGCCTGCACACGCCTGATGCATAAGTTCACCTGAAAGTTTCGGCTGCGGCCATGCTTGAAGGCGCCTATGACACCTTGATTGTCAGAGTATATCAGCACTGAACGGTCTTTCCAGCCCGCTGACTGCAATGTTAAGATGGCCAGCTCGATGGCGATTGCCTCGAGCCAGCCTATGTCCCTGCCTTCCCCTTTCCAACCACTGACAGTGCGCCAAGTGTTCCATTGACTGCCTAGAACAAGTCCGATGCCCCAGTCGGTCAATGCGTCGACCCAGAGGTCGATGTCCTGTGGAGGACCTCTTGGTATGAGTAAACGCGCAGGTGGTGCGGTGTTAAGCACATCACGCCACCATTTGAGGTCGCTGATGACAGATGGGGGTGGCTTTCTCCATGCGAAGCGGGCCTCGTGTGGGAACATGGATGTAAAACGGGAGAGGTTTGATAAGAATGCTCGACCGTGGGGAATAACGAATGCGACGTGGGATAGTGTGCCGTGGATGCTGAGTGCATCCTTGTGAGACATGAAGGGTGACTTGGATAAGGATAGCAAGATGGCTTCAAGCTTGGCTAAGTACTTGAGACGCTTCGCCTCAGGAAGCAAGACTGAATGGTGCACTAAGTCCCACAGAAAACCCAGGTACGTGAAGACGGTATTGAAGTCAGTGCACTTTTCGGGGTGCCATGGGATGCCTAACGGGCGAGTCGCCGAAAAGATGCTGAGCAAGTTGAACAAGTACTCGTATGATGAGAAGGACCCGTCGGGGCCCAATACGCCTCCTGCAACCAGGAAACGGAACATTGCATGGTCGTCGACCCATTTCTTGATGGGTGATATGTTCATTGCGTGCAGGATGTCGATGGTGGCATCCGCTACGTGACCTTGAACACCGCCGGCGGTGGTAAGACCGAAGGGAAAGTTGTGATCAATCCAGAACAAACCGTCAAATCCCACCACAAGGAATCTTTTGTGGGGAGGCCATACAGGCACTGTACGGTATGCAGCTTCAATATCGAGTGTAGCTGGTTGTGTGCCCAAAGGTGCAGTAGCCACCTAGCCAGTTGATCAGCAAGGATCATGGAGAATAAGGTTATGTGCATGACAGCACAGGCTGACGCAACAATGCACACAAATGAGGCACTCTGCGGTGCCTCGTGCATGAAAGAGCTCGGTCGGACGCAATCGAGCGCCAACGTTGCAAAGAAGAGGTGGGCGACACCGCACAAAGAAGAGCTCGGCTAGGTGCATATATGCACCTAGCTCTGCAACGAACAAAGCGGACGACACCGCACGAAAGAGTAGCAGTCCGGTGCGTATATGCACCTGGTCTGTACAAACGAGAAGAAGCAGTACTTACAATTTCAGCCACCTGTGAAGCTGTGCCCCACTCGGTGGGGAAGTCGTCCGCGTCGAGATGCTCGTTGACCGAGTACCCATCCTCCTTGTTTTGATATGATAAGTCGCGAATGATGCGGAATCGTCCTGGGGACCCAGCCTTCTCAACAAGGCCAAGTGGGCAAGAAACAAAGAACCCTCCCAGTTCTGCCTCAACCTGGGCGGCAGAGAGGGGTCCAGACATACAATTAAGGGATACTTCTTCTGCGAGGTAGGATCTGATAACTTCAGGATTGTCAAGTGCTGATTTGTGATTGGGAGGAGTGTACGAGCGAGTTAAAACGGGCATGTTGCCAATGGGGAAGCCGTGTCTGATGTTGTAAGCGAGTTCGGGATAGCGAGAGGTGAGATTAAACTTGTGCAAGAGACATTTGAAGGTGTTGGCGTTGTACGGAGTGACGACGCGATTGAGGATACTATCAACATGATCTGGCAGAGGCTGCGTGGGCCTTGCTTCCACAGACTGAACAGACGTGAATGATGTCGGCTCCGTGTTTGCCCGGGATGCATCTTCCGATGTTGTGAGAGATACAGACGACGGCCGAAGAGGACTTGAGGACAATTTTGTCCTGCCAGACACAGACAACAGGGGTGTTCTTGGCGGAGTGAGTGAACATACAGTCACTGGCCTTGTGACCATTCCGACCGCAGAGGAGGCAAAGGGGTCCGTCGGATGAGGCCCCTTTGCCTTTCCGAAAGGACTTCCCATCCGAGCCCGTGTTAGCGCTGTCCTGCTTCTGTTTGGGGGGGTACGGGTTGTAGCGATTGCTACTATTGGAATTTTCGAGGTGTGCAACCAGCGTGGCCATCCATGCTGCTTCGCGGTTGGCATTGGCTGAGGCTTCGTCGGACTTACGCTTGGAGACTAGCATCTGAATCTCGTTCCAGCGGTGCTCGTAAGCTGCTTCGGTGAAGAAAGACTTGGTATTGAAGAAGATCCTTCTCGTCTCGATGTCGAAGGCTAAAATGGCCTCGAAGTTGTCTTCGAAGTGCTTGCGAGCTAGGCAGAAGCGACAGTGTCGCTTGAAGCGTTCAATGATTAGAGGGCTCGCAACATGAGCAAGGAGGTTGATGAAATTCTCAGATGCCTCCCCAAACTGAGCTGCTGAAAGGGAGGTTTCCAGCGGGAAAGTGGAAGGGTCCATGACAGACTTCTTGGGGTCGTCTGACACGATGCCTTTCTTCATTCTGAAGGACGAGGGGTCCGTGTGGATCCGTTCGATCGCTTCCGCAGTCAGAAGCGTGAGAGGTACATGCATCCTCGCGAGCGCGAGATTGATCACTACCCGAGGTATCTCGTAAACGTCGTCGATTGACGAAACCATAACCACGTCATCGTCCATATATGCGAGTTGGGTTGAAGATGACGCGCTGCTAGTGCTCGTAGTAGGGGGATCCGGGATAGTAGTTCCCGTAGATCCCTGTTGTTTACCAATCATGATCGCGTTGAAGGCATCGCGTGAGTGGGGTGTGAGTGCGTTGACCACACTGAAAGCATTGATCAACGGCCTATTTGTGTCAATGGGTCTAGGATCTGGTAGAGCACGCTCTTCGCTATTGGGAAGATCTAACATCGGCTCGTCATCAGAGACATAGCCCGACGTCGTCACTCGATGATCTGCTCGATCGCTGTTTCGATCGGATCTCGCGTTGTTTTCGCGTTGCAATACATCGCGCGTCGAAGATACTGCGCGATGCCTGTTCCTGACGACTCCATCAGCGAGTCTATCTGTGTCAGCCCGATGTTGGTCTGGGCCATTAGGGTTAAGGGCAGAAGTGTCTTTTCCCCCTACTCCTGTTGGTAATCCAGAGTTAGACGCGTTGTTAGTCATTGCAGAATAGAAACGTGTTGTTTGGTGATAAGAACGCGGATGACTCTCTACTAAGAATTCTAGGTGAGCGAACGCGAGATGAAAGCGAGATGAAAGACGCGTCTAACAAAGCGCGTCTTAGTTACGCGTTCGCTCGTTTAGTAAGCACTTGTTTGAGCTAAACGTTCTCAGGCTCACGTAGAGCTCAAACGGCACACCAGCCTGTCCAGTCGAACTCGCGGAAATTGTGATTTGCAAGGCGTATGTAATTTAGCTGCAGCAATTTTGTCATCTTACATTGAGAACATGTACCATTTCCCCCAAGTTCTGGCAACATGTCAAAAGCTGTGCGTGTTAAAAACTCTTTTTTACACTAGGCAGAAAAGTATCCGATGAGACATGTCTCTCCGAGATCGTGCATGTCAGGATACCGTAGCATCGATCCGATCCGATCACACTTGGCAAAGCGAAGACGACCGGATCATTGAAACAGCCAATCAACGTCGAACAAGACAAAAATCCACTGCACATTAAATAAGTAGTCATGTAGATAGTTAGTTAGTGTGCAAGTACGTGTAGCAGATGGACAGAAGAGCAAGATTAAAAAAATGCGTAATAAATAGTACAGACTCCCGGCTGTTAAGTAGAGGACGTACGAAAGCCTGTGTGGTGGGGGGGGGGGCAGGTCATAAACCATAAACCAAAACCAAGGAAGTAGGGCGCAGGGGAAAAAAACAAGGAAGGACGGAAAGGGAACCTGCGTGTAGTAAGGAAAGCAAGATGAAAACCGGCGAACGAACATGAGCCTCGACCTGGGATATGTTGTAGGCCGGTAAAAGGAGAACCATATGAAGAAGAAAAGAAAAAGTCGCAAGGCAAAGTGGGGAACGAGAAGACTGGGTATAGAACAATAGTCGACTACTATGTATAATTTTTACGATTGCGTTATGTGTAGGGAGACCGAGGTCGCCCTAGACGCAGGGGGGGAGTGGGAAACGACGCTAGATCACTGACATTCTAAAAATGACAACCAGTCAACGTTCGGAAAACCATCGTCCTTTCGAACTGCTGCATTTTGAGCGAGCGCAGATCTTCATCGTTCGGCGACGACGACGGGGACAACTTCAGCAGCAAGCGCAGGATAGTTTATCTGCACTTGTGCTTGCAAAGCCTGCTGGCGCAAGTATTGCTGCTGCGCAGACGAGTAAAGCATCTGCTGCTGATACTGTTGAACATACGTCGGTGTCGAGTATCCGCTCACCGGCGTCGAGTATCCACTCGTCACTGGTGTCGAATGCCGTGAACTAGCATTGCTGCTCCGTCCAATGGCGTGCTGTAGAGATTCGTGCTGCCCACTTGCCAAGAGAGCCAAACCAACCGCACCATGGTCACCCGAGTGCTGGTAGTGATACCGTAAACCGTTCATGTTCTTGTATCGGCGCTGGCAATCACCGACACCACAAGCAAAAGGCCGGAGCCTGCGTTCTGCCTCCCGCTCGACTTCGCGCATCTCACCCTCTGTGATGCCCTTATCTTCCTGCCCAGCAGCCTCACGAGCGGACCGCTTGCTAGCTAGCAGTGCTTGTACATGCTCGAGGTCCTTGGGTGGTGCAAAGTTACAGCTGCCGTGCGTCATGTGATATTTGAGCCCATTAGCTTGCTTATAGCTCTTATTGCAATTCGGCTTAGGGCAGCGGAAGGGTTTTGATGATAATAATGATGACGCAGGGCGAGAGAGTGTGGTGCTATGCTGATTGGGTTGCTGTGATGTGAAAGTTTTCGAAGAAGTAGGGGAATCCGAGGACGCCGACGAATGAGGCACGGGAGCGGGGGACGCGGGGTGACGCGAGATTGCTGGAGATGGAACGCGAGAAGCTGAAGGGGTGTTGGCAGGGGTATTGCTCGTGGAGAATACTACGGCTGGAGGAAGACAGCCGTAGGGACTACCTGGTTCACTGACAGGTGCGTGAACATCATCGCTCGCAGGTGGGGAAGGAACAGTGCCAGGCATTAACGATGAGTAGTCGGAGTAGCCCGCGTAACCGTTAAATGCATCGGGGGCGTCTGCCGCATTTGAGAGACCATTCCGGGATGGTAGGAATGCAGAGCCAGGAAGGGTGCGGGAAGGGTGCACGGTTGTCGTATCAAATGCCGACGTGGGAATATGGGGAGAGACAGGCTTCGAATGACCAAAGTGGTTGAACGAATGAGTAGGGTGTGACGACAATGGGGTTGTGAGAGGCGTGTCAGGGGGCGATGATGCATTTGAGAAAGGTGTGCTACCCTGATCAAGGTCGAGCTCCATGTCATCAGGATCGAAGCCACCTTGATTGTAAGATGAAGGATTCTGATGAAGCTCGGAGAAGTAGGAAGCAGTTGCATTGCGAATAGACTGGGGCGGAGGAACGACTGGGAACTGAGGGTGACCAAACGGGTCAAGCACGACAACATGAACTTCCTCAAAATGCTGTAGCAGAGCATGTAGGTCATCTAATTGTAGACCACAACATGTGTAATTGCGACACTGGGAGAGTGGAACCATGAGAGGTTGACACGAATTACGGATGCCACGACTCACCAATTCGCCTTCCTTGTCGAACGCACTAAGAGCGTTGATAATTGAACCACGGTCGCTTTCGATAGAAGATGACAGCTTGGCACACTTGAATTCGTTAGGACTAGATAAATGATATCAGCACCTGGACACGTATGGTAAAGTATGAACTGACTCTAATGGACCGAGGAGTTCACCAGGGGAACAACCAGGGTAGAAACGACTGCCAAATGAGCCAGCATGCCATGATATTGGGGAACCTAGCAAGTAAGACCTGGCATTGTTAGTACTAGTGGATGAACCAGATGCCATATGGAAATCAAGCTGATTAGGAGACTGGAACGCGATAGGTTGGGATGTAGTGCCCATTGTGGTAGTAAGATATTAGAATATGTATTCGTCTGCCTATATTGAATTAGAGAAGAGGAACTTGAATTCGTGATGGTAGACTTGGTGGTTGTTCGTTGTTGTGGAGGAAGAGAGGATACTATCGGTCGCCTATTTAGCTGCAATCCGTTACTGCACGATTCGTTGATCGCATTTCGGCATAAATACACTGCCACCCGGCCCATTTACGACTACCACCGCCGACACCCTGCCCTGCCTCACATCACTCCCCGCTCCTTTCGCTTACCCCACCCCCGCGAATCCGATGCAATGCTTCAAGCAGGGCAACCGTAACGCATGCATGCTACTCGCAAAGCATGCAACCAAAAAAATATTGCTACGAGCTATCGTTATCACTTTGAACTTATTATCCAGTATCTCCATTGTATGGATACGGCAGTCCTAGAAACCTTGACGTACCGAGGGAAGAAACAGCAAAGAGTACATCGACGGAGCATGTGAGCACTCAACAATCACCGGGATCATGATCTATGGAATGGTGATCAATAGATTAAGTAGATAGAGCTTATCAGGCTTTGTTGCAGCAATGATTCGTCAACATATGAAGTGTGCTCCCTAAGCAGACCGTCTGCCTCTCACCCGAGAGGCGCAACAAGAACAGGAGCGAAAAGGAAACGACGGAGCCTGCTGTCGACTGAGAAGACGGGGCCGAGGCATGAGAGCTACGGCTGACGCCCAGTATTCATGACCCTTGAGTGGTATGTCAACCTGGTGTGTTCTCTTTCGGGTTGGGAAATGATCGTCTATGTGATTGGCGGACATGATCTTTTTCTGTGTCTAGCAGCAGTAGGGATACTTACACGCGCTATGGCAACGTGTTTTATCCAGAGGTTGCACTAGCGCTGTAGACACATAGTTTTTCTTGCTCGCAGCCCCAGTCCACGGTTAGCTGGTGTGCCTTCAATTCGAAATTGCCAATTCCGACAAGTTACGATCCTGAGGCTCTGCTGCACCCACTGAACTTAAAATCTTTCTATACTTGTCGTTCGGTCAATAATCATCATTGAAGCCGCTAAATGTAACCTAACTAACCTCGCATTCATGATATCTAACACGATAATTCAAACGATGCGCTATTAAGCACACGCACACGGCAAGCAGAGACGTATACGGCAATTGTACGGCAAGCAGAATAAATGAGGCATAAAAACTATGAAGGCATCACCTGAGAAGAAGTCAGACCCTGTTTACACATAAAGAACGACAACAACCTCTTCTATAGGACATTTGAGATATCTTGAAGGGGCCCCATCTGCATCGAATGCCTTAAGGGCTATAGGAGTCGATCGGGGGGAACCGGTCAACACGGAATCCGGAACTAGCATAGATGAGGACTATAAGAAGCGTGCCCAGGAAATATACGGACCAGTCGCATGCAGACAGGTAAGTAGGTAAACCAGTACACACCGGTAACATGCATTACCTTGCATTACGCTCAAGAGACACATGCCCGATACGTAATATCCCATCGATATCAGAAGTGATACGACGTTAGCGCCTAGTGATCGTTCTCAACCTTCGACGAAGCAGGGTGCGTGACAAAGAATGATGGAATGAAGTCCACACGGTAGCAGCGTGGTACGGACGAAAAGAATCCTATAAAAATATATAAGCGCCTACTAGGTGGCCCGTTATCATGATGGGCAGAAATTCAACGTCACTCGCTCCACACAAGATTCACTAACGAAACGATATCCCAAACGTACGTTCATCGTCAACTTCTAATGCTACTGACCGTTTATCTCTCTGACTAGGTCAATACAACATGTCAGGGGTGCCTGACGCAGCAAGAGATGAGTATCTCATTTTGAGAGGGCACAGTCTAGTGCGCTTGCGAACAGCGCTTGGAATACGCGAGGATGGACTGTTCAGGAATTCCTCGCTCCTAGAGTTGTTCTCTTCTACCATGTAAATTGGACCCTCTACCTCAATGTCCGCTCTCCCAACCACAAGGAGTCTCCCGCTATCATGCAGGAGTTAGAGGATTCAACAGGCATAGATGCGCGGTGCCTCGTCATTTTCCGTCCGGGGATAACAGGTGCGAGAGAGAAACTCCAATGGGCGTCGAGCCGTGTCACCACGTTGCAAGAAGACATTGCATACTCATTGTTTGGCGTTTCGGCATCCATTTACCTGTCATCTATGGCGAGACAAAACAAAACGCGCTCGGGCGATATCACTGCCCTGGACTGGATCGGAAAACCATCTGAGTTCAATAGCTGTCTCCCGGCTGACATTATTACCCGAAGGTGACGTGCAGATGTATGTCTCTAGGCTGCGAATTTCTGTGGCTGTGGAGTCAGCTTCGAAATTGTATGCCCTCCTTGATAGCCTCAGTGCTCCGCGTTTCACGAACCCCAGACTGCAAGTCAAGGACATGACTGCTGTTCGTGACATGATGGATGTCAGGACGCTAGAGATACTGTAGTTGCATGCATTCTGAAGAACAGAGATCTCTGACACGTTTTCATTCATACCACTTCACAATCCCCCAGGCCTAGGCATTTCGTATGTTGACTTACGACAGGAAATCAGACAACTACGATGATTGTACGAACGAATCATTGAGAGCACCAGCTGAGAAGGCGTCGTTTGTCCCTACCGCCCTTGTCACTTGCAATCGTTATAGCTTCCACTTAGCTTCCATCCGCAATACGTCATCCATGCAGGACTCGTGTATTCAAACCGACGACACAACCTTGAGCCTCAGTCTTATCCCTTAAACTCTGAGGCAACGGACTGGGAAATACAAATGAAAGCCGACATTAAGTATACATATCGGCGGGGTATGCGGTCTTATAAGTAGTCTTCTTGAAATATCAGCACGTCATTCCTTGGCCACAATGTGCGTACAACTACAACTGGATGCTACACGCGAAGTCGTCAGATGAACACTTCAATTAACAGGGTAGGAGGACGCACGAAATTGGTCATACGCCGATATGCATGAACACAATGCGCTGGTCCAGGGGTACGTCTTTATCAGAAGCCAACGACTGAACTGCCTTGTGCAGCGCTCGGGCAGCTCTTTTGGAATTCATCTTGCCATCCCCGCACAAATTCTTGTAGAATGCTTTGACCAAGCGTTCCACGGTACAATCATCAACATTCCAAAATGTACCAATGACACTCCTCACCCCAGAAAATTGTAGGCCAGCCGCCAAGTGAATGACTTCGTCAGGAGTTTCGGCGTCGCCGACTGCAGTCTCGCAAGCCGAAAGAAATGCAAATTCATGCCGAGACAGATCCATATGGCTGATATCTAGAAGTTGAAGTGGTTGGTCGCGCATGAGAAATGCCGACTTGAAGGGTTCCACAAAGTTTTGTGTCCCGTGACAGGCCAAATGAATCCAATGGTTATTACGCAATGTGTGTAGGACGGTCGATTTTGTTGATTCAACACTTGTGACTTTGGTGAAGGAAACGGTTGGGGAAGGGGGTAAGAGACTCTGCACCAAGTCCAGTTCAGCCTCGACAAATTCCAAAGGAAATGAATGTGTTGGTGGGTGGTTCTGACCAATGGCCGCGAAGGACACAGTCAGGGACCTGTCATGCCTTCTGCGAGCCTTGATCAGCGCGGTAAGCGATGGGGTGTAGGAGGAAATGTATAGCCGCGAAAGGGACTTGCCACCGGACCTATATTCACCAGCGGCGTGCAAAGGCAGGAAGTTGAAGAATGAGGTTGGGCACCACCATATTCGCGACGTTGGCTCTCCAATGCTGTCTAGCTTTTCAACCACAGGGTGCACCACCTTGACCCACAGCTCCCTCAAAGCCTGTATCAGCTTTGCTTGTTTCTCCTTAGGGCTGGCATCGTTTTTCACCGTCCGTTGCAGCGCGTTTGCTAATCGCACAAGGTTTTCTACATTGATAGCGAGTTCCACACTGACCGGAGGTTCCTGGTATGAGACAATGATCGCATCGCAAGATGACTTACTTGCAAGGAGAATAATGATGGGTCCATCACGAGCAGCATCTTGGAGATTTGAGAATGAGGGGGGGAGCAGGAAGCGAGAGAAGCCGTCGACCTTCTGGATCTCTTCTACACTTGTATTCCAGTCCTTCACTAGACGTCTGTATTGCGTAGCTTCTGCTTCTACGTCAACGCTTGGCGTCCCTTCTGAATCATTCGCAGGAGGTTTGTCGAGGAGGGAGCTGAGGTCTCGGAATCTCTTCACCAAAGCCTCTGCATGATCGCCGCATTCCTGAAGGCCATCAAGAGGCGTGCGGAATCGTGCCATCTGGGTCCAGATGAGAGTCCTGCCTTGTTCTAGCAACTCTACAGCGCGGCGCACGTTGCCGCGATGAAGAGCACATGATGCAGCATCAACTACAAGTGTGCGCGGGAAGAGCTTCATGGTATCATGGCGAGATGACACTGAAGCTGTCGCAGACATGTAAGTGTCCAGAAGTTCTATGGAAGTTGCATAAGCCTCCAGTATAGTGTCATGCGCATGGTGATCAGCATGTTCAACCCAGCTGAGACTTGCTTGTAGGCGAAATAGCAAACCACCAGAGACAGCATTTGCTGCTGCCTTGAGATGATGCATGACGGCATTCAGACTGTCAGTATCTTCGCCAATGACATCAAGTCCTGATTGATGGAACAGCAGATAGGCGTTAGCTAGTGACCAATAGAACCTTGATTGACGAGGATCGTGTTGCATCAATGGAGTCAATGCACAGCGGAGATTGTCTAGTGACTCGTTGAGGTCTTGGGCATTGCGTCGGTGCTTGAAGCGGGTGGAGAGAAAGTTCCCAAGGTTGTTTAATGACGTGGACCGACCTGGGTGATCGACCGGACGCAAATCCAGCACTTCCCTCTGAAGCACAATAGCCTCATCTAAGTCTTGGTCATTGCCTTGGTGCTCAAAGCGGGTGGAGAGTCGAATCGCGAGGTTACCTAATGACCTGGAACGACCTGGATGACCAACTGGGCGCAACACCAGAGCTTCTCTCTGAAGTAAAATAGCCTCATCCAAGTCTTGGACATTGCCTTGGTGCTCGAGGCGGGAGAGAAGATTCGCAAGGTTATTTAATGACGAGGACCGATCTGCGTGACCGACGGGGTTCAAAACCAGTGCTTCCCTCTGAAGCAAAATAGCCTCATGCAAGTCTTGGTCATTGCCTCGGTGCCCGTAGCGGGTGCAGAGTCGACTTGCAAGGTTGTTTAATGACCCGGACCGACCTGAGTGACCGACAGGGCAGAGTGCCAGCGCTTCCCTCTGAAGTAAAATAACCTCATCCAAGTCTTGGTCATTGCCTCGGTGCTCGAAGCGGATGGAGAGCACAGTACCGAGGTTATTTAATGACGAGTACCGATCTGGGTGACCGACGGGGTGCAAAGCCAATACTTCGCTATGAAGCATGATAGCATCATCCAAGTCTTGGTCATTAGCTCGGCGCTCGAAGCGGGTGCAGAGTCGATTCGCAAGGCTATTTGATGATATGGAGCGAGCTGGGTGACCAACGGGGCGCAAAGCCAGGGCTTTCTTATGAAACAAAATAGCCTCATCTAAGTCTTGGTCCTTGCCTCGGTGCTTGAAGCGGGCAGAGAGCACATTACCGAGGTGATCTAATGACGAGGAGTGATATGGGTGACCGACGGGGAGCAAAGCCAATGCTTCGCTGTGAAGTACAATAGCCTCATCCAAGTCTCGGTCATTGCCTCGGTGCTTGAAGCGGGTGGAGAGCACATTACCCAGGTTATCTAATGACGAGGACCGATATGGGTGACCAACGGGGCGCAAAGCCAGCGCTTCACTGTGAAGCACGATAGCCTCATCCAAATCTTGGTCATTGCCCCTGTGCTTGAAGCGGGTGGAGAGAATGTTCCCAAGGTTGTTTAATGACCCAGACCGATCTGGGCGACCGACGGGGCGCAAAGCCAATGCTTCCTTTTGAAGCACAATAGCCTCATCCAAGTCTTGGTCATTCCCTCGGTGCTGGAAGCGGATGGCGAGCACAATGCCGAGGTTATCTAATGACGAGGTCCGAGCTGGGTGGCCGACCCGGCGCAAAGCCAGCGCTTCCCTCTGAAGCACGATAGCCTCATCCAAGTCTTGGTAATTGCCTCGGTGCTCGAAGCGGGTAGAGAGTACAGTAGCAAGAGCATCTAATGATGAGGACCGATGTGAGTGACCGACGGGGTGCAAAGCCAGTGTTTCGCGGCGAAGAACGATAGCCTCGTCCAAGTCTTGGACATTGCCTTGGCACTCGAAGCGGGTGGAAAGTTGATTTGTGAGGTTATCTAATGACCCGAACCGATCTGGGTGACCTGCAGGGCACAAAGCCAGCGCTTCACGGTGAAGCGCGATAGCCTCGTCCATGTCTTGGACATTGCCTCGGCGCTTGAAGCGGGTGACGAGGTTGTTTGCAAGGTTATTTGATGGCCCGGACCGATCCGGGTGACCGACAGGGCGCAAAGCCAGTGCTTCTCTCTGAAGCACGATAGCCTCATCCACGTCTTTGTCATTGCCTCGGTGCTCGTAACGGGTCCAGAGCACGGTAGCAAGGATATTCAATGACGAGGACCGATCTGGGTGACCGGTGAGGTGCAAAGCCAGCGCTTCCCTCTGAAGCATGATAGCCTCATCTAAATCTTGCTCATTGCCTCGGTGCTCAACAAAGCGGGCGGAGAGAAGAAGTACAAGGTTAACTAATAACGAACACCGATCTGGGTGACCTGCAGGGCACAAAGCCAGCGCTTCGCGGTGAAGCACGATAGCCTCGTCCAAGTCTTGGACATTGCCTCGGCGCTTGAAGCGGGTGACGAGTTGATTTGCAAGGTTATGTAATGACCCAGACCGATCCGGGAGACCTGCAGGGCGCAAAGCCAGCGCTTCTCTCTGAAGCACGATAGCCTCATCCAAGTCTCGGACATTGCCTCGGCGCTCGAAGCGGGTAACGAGTTTAATTGCAAGGTAATTTAATGACCAGGACCGATCTGGGAGACCAACAGGGCGCAAAGCCAGTGCTTCTCTCTGAAGCACGATAGCCTCATCCATGTCTTGGACATTGCCTCGGTGCTCGAAGCGGGTCCAGAGCATGATAGCAAGGATATTCAATGACGTGTACCGATCTGGGTGACCGGCAAAACACAAAGCTAACGCTTCACGAAGAAGCACGATAGCCTTATCCAGGTCTTGCCCATTGCCTCGGTGCTCGAAGCAATCAGAGAGACGGAGTCCAAGGTTGACTAATAACGAAACACGATTTGGGTGACCGACAGGGCGCAAAGCCAGCGCTTCGCTTTGAAGCGCGATGGCCTTGTCGAGGTCGTGGCTATTGCCTTGGCGCTGGAAGCGGATCGACAGCATAGAACCCAGGTTACACAGCAATAGCCCTCGTTGATCAGGCGTCCCGCTGTAGTATCCTAGCGCATCGTAATGAAGGGATATAACTTGATCTACGGCATGGGGATCATCTCTCTCCAAACACCGCTGTGCTCGATGGGCAAGTTCATCCAGCGATAACCGAAACATGGATACAACAGGCCGCTCCTGCCCAGCGCGAACAGCTTGGAAAAGTGTCAATACGTGCTGAAGAGAGATACCAAAGCACATACCAGTAATAGCGACGCGTTGTATTCCGTTGAGGTTTGGCTCTCCCTGGTCCTGGGGGTATTCCTGTTGGCTTGACTCCTCGCCTGAGGGTGGAAGGGTATCATTGAGTGGGTTCGGTGCGGAACGTGTCGCGAAACGAGGCAGCCTATTGATGACGGAATAAAACGTCGCTCGAATGGCTTCGGAAATTGTGGTAAGTGCTGAATGAAGATAGATGACACATACTATTGGTGGCGACTTGCAGAGTTTCACTGAAATTGAGATGCGTTTCTCCCAAGTCCTGGGGGTGTTCTTGGTGGCTTGGTTCCTCACCCAACAATGTAAAGTAATCATCCAGAGCATCCGGTACAAAAATTGACATCTGGCTGGCTGAGGGACAGATACAAAGTGACAGTTGAGAGTAAAATGTGTACTAGCGATGGTGAAACAATGTGGTGATTGTAAAGTCTTGATGGGTTATAAGGAAGAAAAATTACAGCATACACGCGCGACCCACACCGCACTGCGAGTATTGGAATGATCCGGGACCGGTGTCAGCCGTAGAGAAGCAACTCCAACTACGCCATACATTCATGAATGGGTGTCAGATAGGTACAACATAAACACGTTGTAGAGTGCAACAGTGAGGCTGCGAGGCTCGCGACAAACCGCGTATTCCACAAGATTGAATGCTGTGAGGCGCTGTCTGAATGTTTATAGGCTTTAACCATGCAAGGAGTCACAGGGACTCACTGTCTGATGCACGAGTAGCAGCCCCGACACTGCCCCTAGACAGATGAAGTTCGCCGCTCAGGAACCCTTGGACTCGAAACTGCGCGCGCGCGAAGGCTGTTCTGCGGCATGGGCGGCGAGATGCGTACCCTAAACCTCCCTACCATCAACATTTACTTTCGAGGTTGTGAAAGGCCGGCTTCATCTAGATCCTCGTCCTGACTCCCCCACCTGGCCCACGAGTGGCACAACGGTGGGGTTCGCTGCGGCAATATGCGACCACGGGCCGCTCGGTGAAGTGGTCCTGATGGATCTACCAACACTCTAGCCCAGCTCCAGACAATGCGGAAATCCACCTGATATCCGCATGGGTATCACAGTTGCTTGCCTCATGGCAAAACCTGACGAACCTCCACACCAACCTATCCGAGTCCAGACTAGTGACGAGTCTATGCTTCGATCTGCTCGGGAAAAACCACCCTATGTCATGGTCATGACGATTCAGATTGCTGGGGACATTTCAAGGATCGTGAAGTGTTGAGTGAGGTTCCTCTCCTGATAGCATAGATGTCGAAGTTCGTTGGGATCTTCGGATCATGAAAAGAAGGAGCATGTTGAGCGTCTGGTCCTAGGTGTATGATGGAATCAGGATTGTACACAGAAACAGTCCAAGAACAACAAGATAACCCTGCCCACGTGTTCATTGCCATCAGATGTGAAGGTCAATGATGCTCCATTACTGGCAAGCTCCAGATACGAATTCGATAGACTATGTAGCCTAGAGCGCTCACCTAGTAAGCTCTGGGAAGTTGGGAATGTGCAATTATGAGACAAACGTTTTGCCTGGTCCTCATATGTCCTTCTTCGTGATTGACACGAGTTTTTTTCACTACGATATCCACCCATCGACTTGCGCTGGAAATAAGAGGAGAAGTGAATGATGAATACATCCCCGTGAACGACACGTGGGAGAGTTGAGGTTGACCAAGAGTCCCGAGATGTTTCCAAATCCGCCAGCAACACCCCTTTCTCGTGAACACAACACAAACTTGACAAAAGCGCGTTAACGCCTACGGGTAGAATACAAAACCGCAGCCTATCAAACAAAAGCCCAGCAACGCTGGCGACAGAAGATAAAATAAACAAAAAAGATCTTTAGATCGCAAATCCAACCATACTAGTACTAGGGGTACTTCCTCCGTGATATATCCAGGATAGAATCTATGCGTGGTATCGCACACACGATTCCTCCAGCATTCAATCAGGCTACAAATCCTTCTTTTAATTTAAAATGAATCGTGCGCCACGTTTACAAAGATCCGCGTTTCCAGTCCACGGCGTTTTTCAGCTGCTCGAGGGTCAAAAAGATGAGGATGGTAGTAGGCTGGAGACGCGTCCATGCGGGGAGCCAGCCTTTGAACATGAACATCGGGCCTTCGGTTGCTAGAGAGGAGCGGATTACTCCGAGTGTTGACTTCAAGAGATCAGTATCGCGCGTGGTCGATTAGCCGTAAAACGAGACTCACGCTCGAGCCAGGTCCAGAAGCGTTCATGATACGGCTCTTCAGCACGTCTGCGGGTGAGCAGACGGTTGTTGCAACCGTTCCCTGAGAGTGTGTTAGAGACAGATTATGGGAGATGAGAGGAAATAGAACATACTGCTGCGAAACTGGCCGTGAAATGGCAAGCGATGTTGTCATCGAAGTACTTTGTCTTCAGTAGCTCAGCCTTGAAGAAGTCGTACCTGAGAATAAATTAAAAATATGTGTGGTGGAAGTTTGGAATGACTCACGAAGCCAGTTGACTGGAGTTCATCAAGATGCTCCGGAAGACATTAGGGCCTACACCTCGCAGAAGTGATGATGGGCCCTCCTCGCGGACCATCTGCAATCATGATGTCAGCACTGTGGACTCGGAAGAAACAGTTGGGAAATGGCTGCAAGTGAATACGAAAAGATATAAGAGGAAAGAAGCGGCCCATCACTGTGGAGTCCCCTGCAGTGATGAGTTGCAAATCGCGGTGTTCTAAATTCGCTGACCCCTTTCGAGTCACATCGGCAAATTGATGACGTTGCATCCGCGAAGGGCTGGCGAGGTATATAAACCCATTAATCCATGATGCCATTCGTAATGCATTATGGTCTGGCTGTCAATAGAGAGTGCACTCAGTTCTGTACATACGGCCCAGGGTCGTCATGTATGGGTTAGAAGCGAAGCATTGGTGCGAGGGGCAAGCGTGCGAGCATCCAGCATGCATCCTCGGCACAACGAAAATACATGCGAGGATGACGAGAATGGCAGAGTGGGACGGGTAGGAGATAGAGCGGCGCATGGGAATATAAAGGATGAACAAGCGAGGATCAGTACAATCTTTCGCGTTTCTTCCGTCCCATCACTTCTGTGCGCCAAGTTCTAATCTGCATGACCATGCGCCACCTCGCGCGGTGATGCCCCACGATAATGGCGTCCTTGAGACACTAGCAAGAACACTGATGAAGAGGAAGAAACCAGAAACACGGAACCGGGCAAGGCACGTCTATATCACTTAGGCATGACACTTACTCTGAACAATGCGTCGAAGCAATGCTTATAATTAAAGCGCTTTTCGGGTGGTTTTGCGAAGTCGCCTTGCAGACGGACCTGATAGATATGGCGTGATTCGAAGACGAGGCGGGGCGAAGAGGTTCCGGGCGGGAGCGCAGAGTGACGTAATGTGGGGCAAATGTGAGCAAAAGGCAAGGTATTGGGACACGACACGCACCATGACAACCTCTGATCATGCGACATCGCTGTTCAGCGCACAGAGGTCACGATATATGACATCAAGGCTTACCACCAGGATTACCAACGACACCCGCGAGGGAGCCAGCTAACTCGGGTCTCAATATTGTGGATCGTACGATACAGAATTTCATACTCACCCATTACACCTGCTGTGGCGAGGATCCACGCAGGGCTTTGGGGGGTCGCACCCAAGAGTTTCTTGCTCTCATCATATGCCCAGAAGCGACACAAGCTGTAGCTCATCTGGCGCATCCAAGTGCCAGAGATACCGTCAAAGAGACCCCTTGCGCCAGCAGTGCGGATGGTCTTCTTTATGGAATCTACCATACGCTTGTCACCCGACGCCTGAAGGCGGACCTTGGTAAGATCGAGAGGGTGAGTGATAGAAGCAGCGATAGTTGCCGCCAGACCACCGAGATAGAAAGGATATGGCTGCTTCTTGGGCTTTGAAGCCGCAAGAGGTGGCGAAGGGGGTACTACAGCTTGTGTGGACATTGTGAGTGGTGGTTTGAGAGAGAGGATGTTCGACGGGGGTGAACCGGGCGCAACTAAATCGTCCGATGAAGACAGTCGCCTAATGAAGCTTTGAAGCCCTGGGCTATCAATAGGGGACATCCTAAACCCATGCTGACCAAGCAATTTAGTTTATTGGTTCCACTAGTACTGTGTGTCTTAGTTACCCGGGCCAGTCGTCATTTTCCAGTTCGTCGTCGTCGTCGTACACAGCGAGCTCCTCCTTCTTCATAATCTAGACGTTATGATATACAACGAGCTTCATAGTCTGCTCAACATAAGTGCTTTGCTTCTACGGAACGCCGCAGTTTAGAATCAGCTGCGATAGACAGGCGTGGCCACATGTCGTGTGACTGTCGACTTCCCTTCTACCTTCCCGTCATCTCCCGACTCCCCAAAATTACGGGTCTCCGCACCTTCCTTCCTCATCTTTTAGACCTCATCGATGGCTCATTTTCCTGCCCTTCATCCTTCTTTCATCCCCCCATCCCTTCATCCCTCTAGACGGCTTTCTCCTATCTCGAGCCTATAATTATAACCGTCTCATATGTGCTTCTTCTTCTCTTGGAAGTGCAGCTGGCCTCATGCAATTGACTCGATAAATCGTGGGTTTGAGTACGGCGCGCGTCGAGGCACCAGCGGGGCGTGCGACGCTCATGCGTGAACATCGCGCTGGAAAGTTTATTGCGGCCCACGGTCCGTGCGATCCCTGAAGCATACCACGGCGGGCGCACGTAGCAACTCGACATTCCGAGGGAAGGCTCTTTTGTTATTTGGTATGTTTTTGAAATAATTCACCCAATCGTGTTGATTTCACCACACCGTCGATCTTGGATGTGTTTGGGCGGGCGTGAAATCTGCACACGTTCTCAAAATTGGCCCCGAACATCCACGTCGTGAGTCCCGTCGTAGCCGTTCTACTTGTTCATTCCATGCGCTTGCGCTTGGCCTTCCCTTCAAGCATTTTATTCACTCGCCCGTGTCACATGGTAGCTCGATACTAGCAATATTTCGCGTGCTCGTCCAAGGTGCCAAGCGCTCAGCTGCCTCGCCGCGGCCCGTAGAGGGCATTTCCCAACTCGCGTATAATGGATGTCCATTTTCCTCATTCTGAACAAACCGTTGCTGTGCAAGGGTGCTCGGAATGACGAGAATGGTACCTCATCATTCAGCGGTTGTCTTTGATTTGACAGTATGATAAAGTGTTTTACTCTGATATTACAAGCGGGACGCACTAATGAACATTCATATCATGCCTTCCTAACGGATACTTCTCAATGCAAACACATCTTCCAGTTGGGAACTATTCACGGTACGTCGATTCTCAGTGCACGCACCTAGCTACAGTCTATGCCCACGCTATATAACCATGGCCAGTATGTCCCTCTGGCAGCTCCACGCATGAGGCCTGACTCATCAATTGACATTATTTGATCCAGGACAAATACTCGCCTTTTGCAGGATAACAGCAATACTTTCCACCACCCGGACATCATGTTATATGCAGAGTATCGTGTGGCATATGTCGGGCGCCATTTTTGTTTGCTCAGACTAATTGATTACGGACCTATCAGAACACGCTTGAATGCTTCGACATGAGACAGCGAGACGGTGGAAACACGCGAAGGGTACCGCGGCACGGAGCTCCAGCCCCAAGACACCACAGTTGAGTCCCTCTCGAATTTTGCCACATTTTTTGGTCGTACCTTATTGGCTGCTGTTCAAGACGGTGGGGCCCTGAGAATGAGAGCGAGACCATCATGCACGGGAACAACGTCGAAATCAAAGGCTGAATTCAGGTATATTCGGGAACCTTTCCCAAGACAAAAAGAACTGGAAAACACGAATGCCGTCCACGAGTTGTAGCTCGTAGGTGAGGCATCACTTGCGTATAATTGGACGGCGTCATGCAGTTTCGTTTCTTCAGAAGTCATCAGATTTACCATCTTCGACACACGCCGCTTTGTCGGCGTATGTGTAAACTGAGCTCCAATGTCTGTTGGGAGCCACATGATACGAAGAATGACCTTGCCACATATGCGAGACACAGTATCGTTGAAAGCGTACAATCACTCCGTTCTTACAATATGTAGATGGCGTCTTGCTGTACATATCAACAAGATAACTCCGATACCCATTAACTAGCGTAAAGTGACTTGCTGTACCCTTGGCACATAAAATTTGATTATAAATGCTTCGATCTGGCTTTTGCATCTAATGTTTCGAAAGGTCAAGCTCCAATCACTGCAATTACAAAGGGCATCGCACGGCGAAAACGCTATTTGTTCTGTCCTGACTGACGTCACCAGTTTATTTTTCTGGAAGTGCCATGCAGATGTTGTCCAATCAGAATATCCAGAAAACAGACGGTATCCAGCAGACAACATGACATAACATTACAATGATGCATTGAATGACTGTCGACGGAGATTAGTAAATGCATTTAGAATGATCCCGTAGCAAACCCAGTGGGATAGACTAGATAGCGATCAATTCACAGTTGCTGGCAAGGGGATCTATCAGCAACGAAGATCATTTGGAGCGTACTACATGGCATGAACATCATCGAAGCCACGACATCGCCCGTCCAGGATCAGATCGAACTGGTGAATATCATCAACTCAACAAGATAACTCTGGGCGATGCTTTGATGGGCATCGTGGATGATGATGGCAGACACCGCGGCCTAGAATTGAAGGTTTGGGAAGTTAACCCCCTCCCAATCGTTGCTGTATTCCTCCCGAATTTGCGGACGGGGCAAACAAAGGGCTTTGTAACTGGGTGATGGACAATGCTATGGAGATTAGGGTATGGAGCAGAACTTGGATTCTTTGCAGCCAATCCAGCTGAAGCGCTACACTAATGCTGCTTCCGTCTATTGCACTTTGTTTCAAACAGAGTGGAATGGCCAGAAGCAGTATTAGTTATTACAGAAGGGTGCAAATATCATTCCAGTTGATTCGATCGCATATGTACACAGGATACTATAAACTCTCTACAGGATCAGATGCTATCAAAAATGAAATGATTCGGGATAGAACCACAATGGGAATTAGGGTTACTCCCGAAGATGTTCCTCGGGGCAACGTGCGGCTGCAATTAGTGCCCATACATATTGCCACAGCAGTCTGCCACATCATTTCAGCCCCTGATATTCGGAAACGGAACAGGAGACCTCACCGTATCAGATCCTGTTCCAAAAAGGTGCCACCAAGAAACGTCATCTCGGTATCTGTCAAATCGTAGAAATGCTCACTTTCTAGCGTATGTTTCGCGAACGATGGGCCGACGTCCACATTACTATGCTGTGGAACGATTCAAACATAATCTGAAGATAGGCAGGGCAATAGTACTATTTGCTGTGTTGCACCTGAAGTGGTCAGTTACTCCACGCAGACGGAATAGAAATATTTCCAGAATGAGGTTCCGCTGGCCATGTCGCACAGACAAAAGGAACAGCAAAGAACGAAAGGATACAAATACAGATGCGCTGGGGACACGAGCGTTCTGGGTAGAAAGATCGGAATCGGTCCGCACTTGCCATTGGTGGACGAAACTCGTCAAACGTATCCAGAGCGGGAGGATCGGAACAAGTTCCCAACTCAAAAGGATTTGTGTCAGGGATCGATTGGCCTGTGTCATTTCTCCGAATTGGGGCGACTGTGTTGGTGGCCCTTTGTAAGCTCGTTTCGTAGCACATATGGTCAAGTCGTGGCTTCCCTTTTGCGTCGTTGAAGTCGATAGTTACGCTAAATGTCAAAGTTCGGGAACATGGCTCTACGACCTTTCGGTGTGCTCGGGCATCAATGTATAACGTGTGTGCCACTCGGAACCATGATGGCATGCATGGCTCTCTGGCACGTTACACCATCTACATATTTTGGAGCTGACGTCAGAGTTCCAAGAAAAAGTGCAGAGGGCGCTCCGGCTAGTTGGAAGTCCGCATTTTTCTTCCAAACTCGGAGGAGTGCTAACGTTAGCTCCATAACACCTGGTTTCGACTCTGATACGAAGAGAGGCTTTGTGTATTCATTGATGCCAAATAAGAGCCAGAAATTGGGATCCTGTGCTCCGCTACGGGATAGAACATCATTGGCGTTGATTAGAGGAGATTGGGGACGATCGCGGGTTCCGCTGCTAGCTTCTGTCTCTTGTCGAACGTTTCCGGCAATACTAAGGCCATCATTTTCAAGAGATCTCACGTAACTTGAAGTCCACCGATGTTCCCTGACTTCCCGAATTCGCATGCTCGTTGGGAATGCCGCTTCTGGTCAACCCGGTTACTTCGGTCTTGCGAAAGATGTAGATGATGATGGGGAGGATAAGTCGATACCATAAACTGATGGCATGGATAAGTCAGGGGCTTTTTTGTCAAGTGGATGACTGAAGTCCTACATTAAATAACATGCTATCCTCGGCCCTCGGCACCCTGGAGCGATAACGTCGGGGTATCATAACGTCAGTAACGTGAGTTGCGATAACATAACATCAGCAAGTACTTCGTGACACTTCTGATGTGGTCATGGTCGGACAATGATAGCACAGTTGCTCACGCGCGGTCAGGTTGCTCGCCATTTTGAGATGACAGCGCTAACAGACTTTGCGAGTACAAAAGGCGCGGTGCACCCACGAGAGACTGGCAAGAAAGCCAGCGCTTCGCTGCACACCAGGTCAGATGATGTCCACAGAATCCAACTCCAAAGGCGTCGCAGTCGTCACTGGATCCGGTCAAGGAATTGGGCACACCATCGCAGTACGCCTTGCAGGAGATGGCTACGACGTCGTGATCAACGATTTGGAAAGTAACAAAGAGAATTTGGACGCAGTCAAGAAGGAAATCACTGCTAATTTCCCGGAGCGCAGAGTATTGATCGTGTTTGCAAATGTCACTATCGAGGAGGAAGTCAAAGGACTGGTTGAGAGTGCAGTGAAAGAGTTTGGCAAGCTGAATATTGTGAGATGTTTACAACTGCATGATGAACAGACTTGACAGTCGCGATTCACCACACACTAGTTTGTTGCAAACGCAGGCATTGCCGTGATAAAACCACTCTTAGAAAGTGAGTTAAAGTTACACTCGACGCATCAGGCTTTACTAAAAAACTGCAGCAACATCCGATGACTGGGATTCTGTGTTTGCAGTGAATGTCAAAGGCACTTTTTACAGTTATAAATATGCGGCGCAGCAGATGATAGCCCAAGGTGACGGTGGAAGAATTATCGGCGCAAGCTCTCTCGCGGGAAAGAAAGGCAGGTTCACATCACGTGACATACGGCTGTTCGTTGGTTTATGATGTCATGTTTTTTAGGTCATGCTTCAGTCAGCGCTTATTGTGCATCAAAGTTTGCTGTGCGAGGGCTGACGCAATCTGCAGGTGCTGTATTCCCATCTAGTCTCACGATAATTTCACCTTCATACCGTTTTGTTATCAGCCGTTGAACTTGGTCGCAACGGAATCACCGTGAACGCATATGCGCCTGGAGCAATTCAGACATCAATGCGTGAGTTTTGAGATTTTGGCATCAATATCCACTGGTAATATATGTCGCGTAGTTTCCGAGTTGGCGGCAGTAGATGATTCCGTCGACCTTTACGAGGAAGTAAGTTCTCCACCAATGTGCACTGAGAAGCTAATTTTGACATTTCATACTTGAGTTCAAACGGTTGTCATCAGTAGGTCACCTTGGAACTACACAGGATGTCGCGAGCCTGGTTTCTTTTCTGGTAACCCCGGAAGCACGTTTTATCACAGGTATCTCGTACATTGTTCCATGAGCTCTGTGACTGACGGGCGCAATGCGTTGTTTCGCAGGCCAGACAGTAAGTATATTCTCACTCGTACCCACGGAGGACGCAATCTGATATGGTTTATAGATAACGATCGACGGTGGTATCTTTTTTGATTGAACGCGGACCACAGGTATCTTGTATCTTGTTTCATAAGCTCAGTAACTGATGGGCGTAACACGTTGTTTTGTAGGCTAAATAGTAAGTATATTCTCACTCGAACCCACAAGGGACGCAATCTGATATGGTTCATAGTTATAGATAACGGTGATACATATATTCTTTAAGCTTCGATCGAAGGTGGATCGGTGACGCCTAGGATGTGTCTCCTTACCTTTGCCTTTCTGGACATCATAACTTTTGTACGGACAAGCACGCCTGTACTTCTTTGATTGATGCTAGAATAGTAATAATGGTAAACCCTCCCGCATTGCGTTTGAGACTGGCTTACAAGTGACGATTCAGCGACCACCATACATACCAGAACCAACATGTCAATCGCGTACTTCCGGTATTCAAGCGACTCACGGTCATAAGGCCTTTTTAGAATGTTGGGCCATTTCCGTCAGCCCTGATCGGCTAATTAAAGCGATATCATTGATCCGCCATGGATAGGCACTTGGAGCAGATTCCTAATAACACATTCCTCGAAAACGTGTCGCCTAACATAAATAAACGGTAGAATGGTTACAGCGGTTACAAAGAAATCAATGGCGACGACACCAGGCTGTGTCACAGGAATGGCTGAGTGAGATGATGACCGAGTAGAATAATGATGATGACGAGATAGATAATCTAGACAGCGAGTTTGCAGTGAGTTGTAGTTGAGATCGATCATTGACTACGCGTTAAATCAGCCGTAGAAGCTCTCCCTACATCAGCAAAACACTTTGCTTCTGTGGGTTCTGTACAGAACAGAACCCACAGAGTCTCACAGAGTTCCACAGTGCAGTGTTTTGCTGATGAGTAGCGTACTATCACGAAGATTTCAATGTTGCAAACATTGATTGATGAATCTTGAGCTCATACCACAGTGCGTTATATTTAATCGTACTGAGACCTATACGTTCAACCATTCACTTCAAGCCAATTCGAAATATTGACTTCGACCTAGCTTCGAGCGACCGCCGTGATGGTTAGTAATTGACCCTGTGGGGAGCCTAGGAAGCTGGAAAGTTGCTGCCACGCGTCAATATAACAGCCTATGGGGGATATTATCGGCGAGGCACGCCTTTATCAGGGCAACGCCGAGGTGAGCGGTATTAACAATGCTTAACACCGAATAGGTATTTTACCTAAAAAAAATCCCGATTGACGGTTCATGCAACAAGCTGTCCACAACAACACGACGAGGTGCTCTGTAATGGGATAATCTTTTACCGTGGCAAGGGAACCAAATTAGCTTGACAATCGAAGTAGATGAGTCGATTCCCGAACATCGCAAGGTTTTATGTAATTAGTTCACCATCCACAAGGTCGATTTCTAATGGATATCCTAATACCCTCTTGTTCAGTTCTACTTCCGCGATTCACCGGCAAGTTTTCAAATCTTGGCGATCATCTTCTCGTCTTGGCACTAAATCTTCCATATTTGATAATCCTCCATGTAGCATTTGAATATCACTGCGGCATGTAATGCCATCGCCTGAATATTATTCGGGCTTGAAAAAATCCACGTATGTCCATCCTATTTAGTCTGGAGCTCTTAAATTCTTTCCCCGCACTTCTTCTCGACTCCTGTTCATCCCCTCTTCGTGACTTACCATGGCTCCCGATTTCTCTGAAGCTGACATACCGTTTCTTGTGGAGAGGAATACCAAATACCCTGAACAAGTGTGGTATATTCTCACCGTGTTTCTCCTCGTAGTTGGTTTCTTCCAGTGGGGGTCATTCCTTCACTCCAAGTTCGCCAGGCGAGAACACCATGAGTCTGATGACGAAATGGCTACTACCAATGGCCTTCACCGCAACTTTTCTCTCCGTCGTATCCCGCTCGCGTTCATTAATTTCTATCGCGTCGTTGCCTTTCGGTGGACCTTCGAAATAGGCAAAACCTATACCCTCAACATGGCAGAGGTTTTTGTGACTTTGTCATATATTGCTCTTCTCTTGGCGTACAGCTTCATTAATAGTAAGTCCACATTTGTGTGCAGTCCTGCTTACACCACACTCACCACTAAATCACGCAGCCACCTCCGTCGGGGGTCAGAAGCTTGACATTGTCTACTGGAGCAACCGCGTGGGCGTGCTCGCCGCCAGTCAGTTTACCCTCGTCACAGCACTTGGTACCAAGAACAACCTCGTGTCTTGTAGGTAAAATATCTATCAATTCGGCGTGTCGCTCACCGTTCTGTTTTAGTGGTCACAGGCATCAGTTACGATAGGGTGGGGCCCTTAAATTACTCTCCGTGGAGCATTTACTCATTCACGTGCAGCTCAACTATATCCATCGAATGATGGCTAGGACATGCTTTATGCTACTTGTGATACATGTAGCGGGCCAAATTGCAGCCTTTCCCTTGTACGTACCTCCAATTCACACTTGCAATTTGTCTAACACAGTTTATCGAAAGCTTTCAGTCGGCTTTGAACGAGGCATGGCTCCGCTTAGGGATGACTGCCATGACTGCGTTCTCTATCCTGATCATAGTGTCACTGCGTCCCATTCGCACTGGAGCCTATGAGGTCTTCTTCTACACTCACTTCTTTGGTGTCCTGTGGGTGTAAAATCCTACGCGCTTGTGATTTCTTTTTGACCGACAGAATTCAGGATATTCCTGCTGGGAGGATATTACCATACCTCGTCTGTTAAGTAAGTGCAAATAAATACAGACAGCTTCGTTTCTGACGTGCAGCAAACAGCAAGTCGTTCTGGATATGGCCCTCGTTTGTATTGTGGGGGCTCGATCGCTTCATCCGGGTGGTTCGGCTAGTTGTGTTCAATCACTCTTACTTTGGCTTCAAATCAGGATCTGGGACGATGGATGCGGTGACAGAATTGCTTTCCGAAACTGTCGTTCGATTGCGCCTACATCGCCCCCCTCATTTCCACTGGGCCCCAGGGCAAACAGCGTATCTAATCATGCCCTCAGTTTCAACGTTGCCATTCGAAGCGCACCCTTTTACCATTGCGAGTTTTGATTCTAGTCTGCTGTCGACCGCGACGGCGGAGGATCAATCAACAAGTCAGGTTCTGGGATCAAGCGCTCCATTCTGGAAGGAGCTGGTGTTTTTGATCAATGTGCGCGAAGGGTTCACGAAAAATCTAAAGGAGGTGGCTGCTAGGAATGGCACAGTCAAGGTGTTCGTAGACGGTCCTTACGGCCCGGCACCTGACCTCGGTTCTTACGACACAACCGTATTAGTCGCAGGTGAGTTGTGCTTTGTCTCGTGAGATCAAACAGTGCTCATCGAACTCAGGAGGATCGGGTGTCTCGCACACCCTCCCGGTCTTGTTAAACATTATCGAGTACGTGCGTTCATTTAATGATTGACATTGTTGCCTGATTGTCGTTATAGACGCGTACGCCAGGGTAAAAGCTCGTGCAGGCGGGTGGTGTTCATTTGGTCGATACGTGGGGCTTGTACGTAGATTAGTCTTCTTCTCTCTACGGACATTACTAACGTCATATATTACAGCACATGTTCAGTGGATTGAAGAAGCACTTGTCAAGGCCGTTCAGCTTGCATCACCTTCTTTGACAGTATCTATTCGCATCTTCATCACTGGTTCTCCATCAACGACACAATCCGACTTGTCCGGGGAAGATGTTTCCACCCTCTCAAGTTCAACCGAGAAGAAGGGCACTTCCGAACCCATTGTAACCAAGATAGAATCCTTTTCATCGCCGTTACTGTTGTTGCGCGGCGTCAAGATGGAATTCGGAAGACCAGATCTGGATGCACTTCTCAAAGAAGAGGTCAATATGGCCTCGGGGAGGATGTCGGTGAGCGGTAAGTACTAATTACGGCGACCTCCAAGAATGTGCCACTTACTGACAGGGCTTCAGTTTGCGGATCGCAGGGTATCGCACGCACGGTCCGTAATGCACTTCGCTTCCCTGTCTCTGGGCCTTCCAGTATTCTCAGTGGAGGACCGAGCGTGACCCTACATGTTGAATCGTTCGGATACGCGTAAATCTGATATTCTCCTCTTAATTATTCTTAATTCGAGTTATGGGTTTTCTTTTCAACCAGTGTATCCCCCGACTTCACAAAGATTCACTCAGTACTGTATCATTTTATCATATTGGATGCCCCGAACATCAGCTGCGATAAAAGGTTGAATGGCTCGTACCTAAAGTAGGATACTCATTAAAACATAGGCGAGCACTACAAACATACATAGAACGTTATACTTTCGAATTACCTTGGCATCATACTCAAGCACGTCCTGAGGGCAAATTATGTAATGGGAAGCATATCTGAACGCATTGAAGCATCCCTGACCTGGGAGTTGTCGGGAAGTTCCACAGACAGCGGAAGGAACACCATGTCGCGGCCAGAAGAAGTTGAGAAGCAGCGCCAGCTGCGGCTGCCAGGTCCATCTGCAAATCCACTGAAATAAACGTACGACTTTGAGTAGCGCACTCATGCGATTGGTGGAGATGTGCTTACGAACGCAAACCTGAACTAAACCCAAAGCGAACTTGCTCAAAAAGCACTTTGAGAGGAACAGATCGGCGGCCTATTTGAGTCTGACGCAAAGAGTTTAGCCTGGTGCTGGCCAAAAGATTGACGTTGACATTTGTCAATGCGAGTAATGATCGGCGACCAATCAGACATTTTGTGATAGGGACTTAATAGATGGGTTCATTCAGGAGGAGAATGAATGATCTATTTAAAACGTTATCAGTGTTCTGGCTTAGTAGGAATCGGTGACACGATCTCGTGCGTTGGGATAGCTCGGGGTGGGACGCAGGCAGGTGGAACCGCTGGGAGGGCGGGATAACCTGCCTACGAATTCGATCGTGCCAGTGACTCTTTGAAAAGTTCGCAAAAAGGACGGTATGGATTAACCATTATAATGTATAAACAATAGAGTAGAAGGAAATTATGGATTGCGGAGTAAAGTAAGAAAAGGGAGTAAATAATGAATGTAAGTACGAGTGAGGATGCGAGAGCTAGTATGCTGAACGAGTCGACGCGGGTGCGAGAAATGAACAAAGGAAGAAAGGACGCGATCCGCTCAGCTGCCGGGATACTCCGGCAGGCTACGTTACCCGGCATCTGTACATTGATCGCGTTAGGGTCGAGTCTCGAGGAGACTAGAAGCGATTTGCAGTTCTTAACCTAACGTCAACCTCGGGGCCGGTCGGTTGGAAAAACACGTGAAACAGCGACATGACGTTGCAGCGTTGTGTTTTGTATCCACAGGCATTAATGTCGTAGGGCTACTCCAGACCTCTGGGATAATCCAGAGATTTTTGGGACTACCTTGAACAGTCGTTCCACTCGAGCAGACAAGTCTCTGCGAACATGCGGTTTCCGAACTAAATATATCTTCGAGTGAAGATTCGACGCCAACTTTATCGTGATGCATGCATCGATGACTTCCCACCCATCGTTGGAACGTTCTGTAGCATGATCAACACGCTAAGCCATAAATGTGGCGTCAGTGGGCAAATAATGCACCGGATAACGTGAACCATGATCCGAACCTCGTTTTTCATGCACATCAGGAATTCTCGCCTGCACCGGAAAGGAGGTAACTCATAGTAGAAAAGTGTACGAGCGTTGCATTTGGCACATACAGCAATTCGAGCACCAGTAAGCACGCGAAGCTGGGCTCGATTCATATCATGAGCACATGATGAATTCTACGAGAGAAACTACATTAGTGATGTCGATGCCTACAAACTCAGGTATTGCTTATTAAAGTTATCCTCTTCCTCCGCCAAGATGCATTCAACTGATAGCACAGTTATCTGGCATATCTGGCATTCCATCAGCACCCATGCCGAATCCAGGGGGCAATGGACCCATGATTTCCTCCGGAGGAGACCCGTGTTTCTGAAGCTGTGATAATACCGGCGATATTGATGCCATGCCGAGTATAGTAGACTGACCAACGCACCTCGCCCATAAGGTCGACAACTTTGGTTCTTGTCTTATCGTCGTCGTCAGTGTAACCTTCCGATTGGAAAATTTCAAGGAGCTGCTTCATGCAGATGATCTGCGCATCATAGCGTTTCTTATCATCAGATGATATTGTAGATGCATGGGTTTTGAGGTAGTCGGGGAACTGCAGATATGACGAAGGAAAAATGAGAGCGTTCGCATATCGTAAGACATATGCTTACCTTATCCGAGAGTTCTTTCAGCGGCTCGTAGAGGACGTCCTTGCCCATGAGCTGGCCCATCATAGCTTCCAGGACGCCCTGTAACTCTTCCTCATTCTCGCCTCCGAATTGAGAGAGAAGCGCCTCGAGTGGATCAGTGCCAGTAGCAGAACCACTCGCATCTGATGTCTTCAAGCCTGACTCGCTCTCATTTAGCTTGTTCATAGTGTTCCGGATGCGTGATTGGAAGTCGTCCTTTTCTCCGATTTTAGGGGCAGTAGGTGCTCCCTGTGTTAGGGACGGGTCGATCGATGCATCCATCCCTTCTATCAACATCGCTTCCCAAGCCGCTGCGAGGGCACGCTCCCGCTCTTCTCGTTGTTCTGAAGTCTCGTCTTCTTTGTCTGAACCTTCATTAGGCCCATGCTGTGCGATATCGCGCCAAAGCGATTCCATTCCCTCAGCAAGCTCTTTCGCAAAATCAGCCCCAAAGTCAACATCTGACGAAGATTGTTTTATTTTCGATGCCTGAGACGAGGTTGGTTCATTCACAGCAGGCGATAACGTCGATTGTTGGGATAAACTGGACGCGGTGACATTGGAAGGAGTAAATTGATCTAGAACATCTGCTAGCTTTTATAAGCGGATCTGGATAATAAAAACATGATCGGCTTCTGACCGTCGAGATCATCGACGTCGTCTTCGTCGTCAACACGTGGTTTGGTGCTGTTGGACATGAGGTGCGCTTTGTACCAATTACATAAGTAAGTGAACTCCGTTCATCTGGTGGCGTAGACCAGCCAATTCATTGCCAAGCGTTCCTCACGGTCGTCAATTAGACCTGTTTCGAAACTTTTCAGAATTTTGCTCGATGGTTGAGCTCCTCTAGCACACCATTTATACACCTGACAGCCAGTGCAATCTTCCACACTCTCATGCTATCCGTATGGGGCATGAACCAGATTCAAGTTGTTATATGCTTGAGCCTCCGGCGCTCATTCAAAGCTCTTCGCCGAGATTGATCACACTTGCTCCGCAGCACTTATCAGACCACGGGGAAACTAGTAAGATTGGCAGATCCGATACCTATTGGGAAACCTAAGTCTGACATACTAACGTTCACTTTCCAGCCAATCCAATCCTCCCGTTTAGCATTCTCAGTTAACGTCCGAGGCAACAACTCAGGTCTACTACCCAAGGTCCTAAATGGCACTTTCGGATGTACATAATTGTTTGTTCCACGCAGGGACTGACTATAAAATTAATTGCCAAGAGTGCAGCCCTTTGAATACAGGTCCTTGTGCTCTCTACTTCTAACCATCATGGATACAGCTGGCCCCACCGACGATTCTCTGCACACCACCAGAGACACTTTGTACCCGATGCAAGCATGGTATTGCATCGGTATTTTCATTTTCGTTATCGCCATTTTTCAGTGGATCTCCTTTTTTCACTCCAAGTTCTCCAGGAAGCGTTCCACGTCCAACGGTTCCGATCCAGAACAAGCTCCTGTGCACCATCGTCGCGTTTTTTCGTGGCGTCGCATCCCTTTGGGACTTGTCAATGCATACCGTGTTATTGCTTTCCGCTGGACAGTTGAAATCGGAAAGTGGTACACCCTCAACGTGGTTGAGATTTTTGTGACCGTGGCGTATATTTCGTTTCTTTTTATATGGGCATTCATCAACAGTGAGTTCCCTGCCTATGCTACTGGCAGGATCTGAGAATGCTTTCTAGCAACCAACCTCGAGGGTCACAGACTGGACATTGCATACTGGGGCAACCGCTCGGGCGTGCTTGCCGCGAGCCAGTTCCCACTGATTACTGCACTTGGAACCAAGAACAATGTCGTATCCTGTATGGCTGATGTACTAGCATTCTCATCTGCTTGCTGATTTGCCTACAGTAATCACCGGTATCAGCTCTGACAAGGCAAGTCTTTACGATATTTGATGTTGCTTTGTGATAACACGGTTTCGGTTGTTCCTGAAGCTTAACTATGTCCATCGTATGATGTCCAGAGTCGTCTTGATCTTACTCGGCGTTCATGCAAGCAGTGAGGTCGTTCAAAACGCGCCGTACGTACACATGCATCAAGAGCGCAACACTCTAACACCATACAGATTCCAACCATTCCTAAATGAGGCGTGGGTAAGATGTGGCATGACTGCCATTACTGCATTGACCATTCTATGCGTTTTCTCTTGGCGCCCCATCCGAGCACAAGCCTATGAGCTTTTCTTCTACGTTCATTTCGTTATGGTTCTGTGAGTCCGCTCCAGTTATATTGTATTGGTGAAATGACACAACGTTTATTTCAGCACTTTCCTCGTCTGTGCTTACTTCCACACACAATATGACGCGTGAGTCTTATCAAATACACAATTCCAATATTCATAACTTGTGGTCGCCAGAGTTACCTACTGGATCTATCCCTGTTTTGTAATCTGGGGACTGGACCGCCTTATTCGCGTCCTTGGTATTGCGGTGTTTAATCACTCATACTTTGGATTCAAGTCAGGATCTATGATGGACGCGACCGTTGAACTCCTATCCGACGACTTTGTTCGGTTACGTTTCCACCGCCCGTCTCATTTCCGCTGGTCCCCTGGGCAAACTGCCTATCTTATCATGCCAACCGTCTCACGCCTGCCGTTCGAGGCCCACCCTTTCACCATTGCCAGTTTTAATTCGAACCTTTTTGATGTGCTCCAGGTTCAGCAGCCTCAGGGCGAAAGATATACTACTCAGATCACAGAACAGGATCTTGGATCTAGTGCTCCCTTCTGGAAGGAGCTGGTGTTTTTCGTCAACGTGAAGAAGGGATTCACCGCCCGCTTGAAAGAAGCTGCCTCGAAGGGTGAAAAAGTCAAAGTCTTTATCGATGGACCATATGGACCGACTCCTAACCTGGGTTCATACGACACATCCGTGCTCATTGCTGGTTAGTCGTCGAAGTTTCTGCGAGTACTGCTCTTACATGTTCTATTTTTAGGTGGATCCGGAGTCTCGTATACGTTACCGATATTGTTGCATATTATAGAGTATGTCGACTGGCTTACCGTTTGTGTATTTTTAACCTTTTTTTCTTCTTCCAGAAGTGTCCGCAACGGTAAAAGCAGCTGTGGCCGTGTGGTCTTCATCTGGTCAGTTCGGAACGCCGGTAAGTATTGTTCATGCATCGGCTTGAGGCCTTGTCAAGGTCAACATTGATGTTCGCCAGACTACATTCACGGGATCGACGAGACTCTCATCCGAGCACTTCAACTTGCACCTCCTTCTTTATCCATCTCAATTCCGCATACACGTTACCGGTAGACCAGAAACTATCGAGACCTTGCCACGTTCTTCGAGTGATGACGCCAAACCGGCGTTTGATCACTCCGAGACGGTGGTGTTGCAGGAGGGAACAGCTATGGATAAAAGCGTGGACTCCCTTTTCGCCATAGAGTCGGTCAAGGTTCAAACTGGAAGGCCCAACCTGCCAGCCATGCTCCGAGATGAAATGGAAATAGCGACGGGCAGAATGTCTGTTAATGGTCAGCCTCCGTCTCCAGTATGCTACAAATTACAAGGGCACTTACTCTACTTGTAGTGTGTGGCTCACAGGGGATAGTTCGATCTGTTCGTCGTGCCCTTCAAATCCCAATGTTTGGCCCTCTCAGTGTAGCCAACGGCGGCCCGAGTGTTACTCTACACATCGAGTCCTTTGGTAGCGCTTAGTACAACGGACACCCAGGTCACCATTATGAAGAGCCACAAAATATTTTCTGGAAACGCCCACAACGATTCGTTATCCCCCATGTTCACTTTAAGTATTACTAGATCCGGTTGTAGCAGGGGTTGCCGGCGGGACGAGGAGTAGCAGGCAGGAGGAGCAAAGCAAGGAGTGCTAGAGGTCTCGGGAGTTCTCAGGGTCTCATCACATGTGTACGAGTAGACACGAGTCAGCAGACAGCGTTAACGTCATCATCCTCTCCAGAACGTAGAGCTTAAGCCGGGTTCCACCGGTAGCATGACACTCAATTTTCAGCCCGTCTCTTGTGTCAGCTAGACTCGTCAGCCACTTCCTGCAAGACGATCAATATTTTTGCTATTCGTATCTTCCGACGCACTGAAGCTTTATTCCTCAATCTTGTACTCAAATAAGCGTCCCAATCTTATTTGCAATCTTACTTGACGTTTTACTCGAGGTTTCAATATTTTCAATGACAGACCGCAAGTGATATGCATGGCGGCCTTGGTCACTTTGATTCTTCGAGTTAAGCAGTAAGTACTTTACAGTGGGGAATTCAATGCATGCAAACAATAATAAGAACCTTCGTCCATGGTTTGCCTAGGGAGACTAAATTATGCATGATCGTCTTGATCAGTGGGTTGTGACGCGTGACGTCGAATCCAACCTAGATATCCAGCTGGGCATTGGAAATGTAATGGCTACCTCCAGCGCATGTGTAACCTCCCGCCTGTTTGATCCAGCGAAAGCCTGCAACACACACACCCATTTGCTGCAACTTCTGCTGTACTTTAGCCTCCTCGCGCTTTCTCCTGTCTTCCTCTTGCTGCTTCTCCCTCAGCGCGACTATGGCCTTCTCTCGAGCGGCTTTAGCCTCCAGTTCTCGGATGCGAGCGGCCTCTCGCTGGCGCATGAGCTCATCGTTGGCGGCGTTATCCTTCGCTACTTTCTGCGCGAGTTTCCGCGCAGCAGCTTCTGCAGCTCGTAGTGTGTTCAGGGCCTTCTGCTGCGCGAGACGACGCTTGCACAACTCTTCAGCAGCATCCTTTTCGGCTGCTTCCGCAGCTGCCTTATCCGCCTGTAGTTGTGCCCAGGTAGCATCATCTACGCCGGGATCCCGTTGCACTTGATCGTTTGTCTGGGCAAGCAAAGTTGAACTCTGTTTTAATGATCTCTTCCCTGTCTCATGTTGTTTATGGCACTAACCTGAGATGAAGCCGTAGTGTTTGGCGGGGATTCCTTGTTGGATGGAGGTTGTTGTGTTCGTTTACGAGCAGCAGGAGGTTTGTGAGTGGGAGGTTTTGGAGGAGCTGTAGTGGACACGCTCTGAGAAGTCGAAGGAGGAGGAGGTGCGGAGTTTCTCGACATAGCCATCTGTGGGATGCCGGTGGTCGATGGCACGACCTTGCTTGGCAAGATGAGACGTTCTCGCTGCTCAGAGAGCAAACTTCTCATGATACTCAACGGATCTTCTGGTGCAACAACCAGTAAACCCCCTGGAGCTTTCCCAGCCGAGATGAACGCAGGGCGAGCTAACTTTTTCGCAATAGACTTTACGTCGCGTGCATTACCCCAGTTGTCGAGGCTCGTCATATCAACGATGATGCTTAGCATCTCCTTGTGTAGTGATGACGATGGATCAGACAGCCCTTGGACGACAACCTTTGACCCGCGCAGCTCCTTGTCAAGCAGGTCGAGGCATCGGGATGACGACATATTAGGCAGAATGAAATCCTCAGAAAATCGACTGGAAAGACCGGGGTTCGCGCCCAAAAGTTGATTCATCTCCTTCTCGTATCCTGCTAGGATGATGACCATCTTACCCATGAACTTCTCGTTGGTCATCAGCCCTACGATTTCGTCGATGGCTTCCTGCGCAAAATGTCCTTGGCTGAGGTGATAGGCTTCATCTACAAAGAGGACTTTGCCGATGGCCTTCTCGAAAAGTTTCTTCGTCTTGGGACCCGTTTGGCCAACATACTCGCCAACGAGATCCGACGCAGAACACTCTACCAGGCGAGGGGCGCATGATGGGGTAGCTGGAGCCAAAAAACTCATCGCAGACGCCATGGCGGTGGGAGGAGGCGCTATCTTTATCGACGAAGCATACCAACTTGTTAGCGAACACCAGCACACAGGAGGTCAGGCGCTGGATTTTCTTCTCGCCGAGATGGAGAACCAAGTGGGTACTCTGGTCTTCATTCTCGCGGGATACAGCAAGCAGATGGAGAAGTTCTTCGAACACAACCCTGGCCTTCCGAGTCGTGTTCCGTACTCCCTCAAGTTCGCAGACTATACTGACGCGGAGCTTCTGACGATGCTGGAAGCGCTCGTGGAGAAACGATATTCAGGCCAGATGAAGGTGGAAGACGGCATCAGGGGCTTATATGCTCGAATTGCAGTGCGTCGACTTGGACGCGGTCGCGGTCGTGAGGGCTTCGGAAATGCTCGGGCATTACAGAACATGTTTTCCAGGGTCGCCCAGAGACTAGCTGAACGACTTCAGAACGAACGCAAACAGGGATGGCCCACTGACGATTTTTTTATCTTCAAAGAGGACTTTATCGGTCCTGACCCATCCCAGGTCCTTCCGCAATGCGCTCCTTGGGAGAAGCTACAGAAAATGATAGGTCTCGATTCCGTGAAAGACTCTGTCCGTAATTTCTTCGACATCGTCGACACGAACTATCATCGAGAGCTTCAAGAGAAAGAGCCCCTTGCGATGTCTCTGAACCGCGTCTTTCTTGGCTCACTGGGAACCGGCAAAACGACAGTTGCGAAACTCTACGGACAGATACTCACAGAACTAGGGCTTTTGAGCAACGGTGAAGGTGATAATTCATACTTGTGTTGTTGGCTTCCCATTGACTGCCGAAATTTCGTCAGTCGTGGTCAAGAATCCGTCTGATTTTGTGGGCGCGTACCTTGGCCATACGGAGAAGAACACCAAAGCTATCTTGGACAGTACCGTTGGTAAAGTTCTAGTTATAGATGAGGTACGCAATCCCAGACTTATTAACCAGTAATAATATTGACCTTATTTGTCAGGCGTACATGCTATACAGCAAAAATTCTGGACACCAGGACTCGTTTAAAACGACCGTAATTGATACCTTGGTCGCGGAGATTCAAAGCGTACCCGGAGAAGATCGCTGTGTTTTGCTATTGGGATACAAAGAACAGATGGAAGATATGTTCCAGGTACGCTCGAATATTCACTCGAATTACCAAGCAAACTCTGATATGTCTACTCAGAACGTGAACCCCGGGCTCGCTCGCAGATTTGCCATTGAAAACGCATTCACCTTCGAGGACTTCACTGAGTCCCAACTTCGGGAGATCTTGGACTTCAAACTGAAGGATCAGGACCTCGGAGCCACAGACTCAGCGAAACAGGTTGCCAGCGATCTTCTGAACAGAGCCAAGAACCGTCCTAACTTTGGAAATGCCGGCGAGGTAGAGAACATGCTCGGTCTGGCTAAAGCCCGCTATCAAAAGCGTCAAGCGTCAGTGCCTCCTGATCAACGTTCCGACGTGATCTTCGAGGCTGAGGATTTTGACCCGGATTGGGAACGTGATCGCAACTCTGCAGCTAATCTCACGAAACTCTTCGAGGATCTTGTTGGTTGCGACGACATCGTGAAAAAACTAGGCGACTATCAGAAAATTGCTCGTGCGATGAAGTCCTCTGGTGTGGATATGCGCAAACAAATCCCAACGAGTTTCATTTTCAAAGGACCTCCAGGTATGTAGCGATTTCTGATCCGGAGCGGAATATTCATGAAGGGATCCACTTATCCGTAGGCACTGGGAAAACGACCATCGCGAGGAAGTTTGGTCAAGTGTATTATGACACGGGATTCCTTTCTTCATCCGACCTGATCGAGTGCTCAGCCTCCGACCTCGTGGGGCAGTACGTAGGTCACACTGGTCCAAAGACGAAGAAACTTTTCGAGAAGGCCCTGGGCAAAGTGCTTTTCGTGGACGAAGCATACCGGCTTAGTAACGGGCACTTTGCGCAAGAAGCCATTGATGAGGTCGTCGGCCTCATGACCAACGAGAAGTTCATGAACAAGATGGTCATCGTTTTTGCAGGCTACGAGAAAGAAATGAACGCTCTGTTGAGCGTCAATCCTGGCCTCGCCAGTCGTTTCTCGGAGGAAATCACTCTGACCAACATGACGGCGGCTAAGTGTCTTCAAGTACTCGACAAGGAATTACAGAAGACGCAGATCATCCTGTCCGAGCTAGCCGATACCTCTTCTTCTGCTTACTCCGAGATGGAGAGTATCATCGACCGAATGTCACGCTTGTCCAACTGGGGGAACGCCCGTGATGTCAAGACCATTGCCCAGAGGCTCACCCATCACGCATTCAATGCTTTGGCAAATACTCCTGGAAGTGCACCGTCGCTCACCGCAGATGAGGCAATAGCCGTCATGAAGGATCTGCTCAATCAGCAACGCCAGCGGCTCAATATTCCACGCATAGCCACTTCACCCCCATCAAGTATACCACCGATGGCATCTTCCAGCAATTCCGCTCCTCCTCCACCCCCTTCCCAATCAGGGTCTTCTTCCGCAACCAATAAATCTCGGCCACCTAAGCCACCTTCTCAGAACAGCTCTTCATCCAAGCGGGCGCCGCCGAAGCCTCCTCCGCCATCAGGGCCGCCCTCTACACCCAGCAGACCCCGCCCACCTAATAAGCCACCTTCACAAGGTAGTGCATCATCCAGCAAAAAATACCCGCCGCCGCCGTCTGCTCCCTCGTCGGCTGCAAACATCACCCCGAAATTCACTCCTCGTCGCCCGAAGCCGCCCAAAAATTCCCAACAGGGGTCGCCTGCACCGTCCAGTTCTGGAAGTCTGCCTCCTCCCTCTATTTCAGGATCCCAAAGCAGTGCCCCACCGACTCCAGATCCGCGAGGGAAAGCGAAGCGGTTACCAACTCAAAGCACCCAGCCTCGGTCTGCCAATGGTGTTCAGCGCGACCCAGGAATCGCCGATGCTATCTGGAGGCGATTAGAGGCAGATAAAGCTGCAGCACTAGAGGCTCAAAGGAAAGCAATTGAGGAGGTAAAGAGGCGTGAAGCTGAATTGAGTAGTGCTGCTGCAATGCAGCGAGCTGCGGAGGCTGCAGGTCGGGCTCTTGCTGAGCAGATTCAGAGGGCACGAGACCAGGCTGAGCAAGAAGAACTCATGCGCCAGAAGGAAGCGATTCAACGTCGAGCGGCAGAGATGCAGGCAGCAATGGAGAGAGCTGCTGCCGCACTCGTCCGAATGCGTCAGGAGCAAGAGAGGAAGAAACGCGAAGAAGAGAGAATACAGCAGAAGTTGAGGAACCTCGGCGTCTGCGTACAAGGCTATGCATGGATCAAACAAGCATCAGGGTACCGTTGCGCGGGTGGCTATCATTTTATTTCCGACTCCCAGCTGCGCTAGTTCTGCGCACATCATCCAGGTTTGATTGACGAGACACGACCATGTTGAGCATGTGCTGGTTTGGAAGTCAACGTTAGCTGGCATTCTTCTGAACTCTTTTTCTTACATCTTTTTGCTCTGTTCGTGCGCTCTTGCAGATGCTGTAGTATGCGTATTTCAAAGTTTCTGTATTCAATATCCTGAGGTAGATTTACTTGTCGAACGCCACAGACTGAGTGAATTCGAAATATAAATTGACCGGTGCTCTTTGCATACCATTGTAAGCCCGGTGGCTTACCTGAGTTCCCATAATCAGCATAAATACTGTCCGAGATAATGAAGCATGAGCTTTCATTATCACTGCCTTTTGGCGTAACGGTTAAGGGACGACAGTCTTGACAACTTACAACCATTCGTCCACGGTATTGGATGCAGACGATGACAGGGAGCGTGTGCACAGTATTGGGGTTCCATTGATTACCTACGAGGTGGTGGGTGTAAGAGAATTCTGCTTGTAGAAGGGCTAGATCTTCGAGTACTCAGACGGTCTCGAAAGGCAGGCCCTTGATGGCAACAAGGCCTAGAGATGTGACACGTGATAATTACTGCATCAACTTGCTCATCGATGTCGACGAGTCACGACTCGACATGCAGGAGTCCGCGATATCGATAGTACAAATAGTGTTGATCGCACACCGGGAAACAAAACTACACTCCGCTCATGCAAACTCGATGTCTTAACTCATATTCAAGTTGATGCTCCGACACTCCCCCGACCAGTTAACAACTGAAGCTTGGCATCGGTACCCTCCACCTCGCATATCGAACACATAGCTTGCCCAACATGCGGAAAGGTTATCACCGATATTTTGACCATGAGGCGGATCAATTCCACCTTTGATGGCTCGCCCTCCAGATCTCTTCTCGTCATCCCTCTGCGGCGTTCGAAAGCAGCACGAGCGCCGTCGAAGGACCGAGGCGGCTCAAGGCTCTGGTCCAAGATGTCGCTCGTTTGCGCAGTCTAGGGTGCGGTTATGGTTCAATTGGGGGATGTCATAAACGCTATGGTATTTTTTTAGAATATCTTCCTGAGGGCTCGCTCATGCACATCATTGTCAGGTCGATAAATCGGGACAGTTCGCCAAAGACACTCGTGTCAGTCAAGAAGTTGGTACAGAAGGGTAAAGTGACTAGTAGCCCAGATTTTCGATGTTTCAAGCGACGCGGATCTCACGTCATCCATGCGGACCTCAGCCGCATTTTGCTAGTGACATCGAAGCCTCCAGGCACCGCACCGCTCACGCGTATGCCACCTGTGTACATAACCACGGCGGTGACATAACACGAGCTCTTTGAACACTCGTCCCTCAAACCGAGCGTTTCTACGACTTTTTGCTCTTTATCGACTCAGCCAACATGGGAGGAATCGTATGGAGGACTCGCTGGCTGTCGACCCTCCAGAAGAATTCACCATCGAGATGCGGTGGAATAACCAGACTTACCTGCTACCTGCAATCCAAGACGATTTTTGTGCCATCATCCAATTCTTCATCGTCGAGCTATTCAAGATTCGACACAAACAGTTCAAGGGCACCTTTCCAAGTGCTTCAGAATTTGGTTCCCAACGCGACTCAACCTTACCAAAGCAAAATCAATGAAGTTGATGCGACCCCGGGAGTTTATCGCCAAGACACTCTGACGCGATCCAGAACTCATGCCATATGGTTTTGTTGGTGCTAGGCCACGCTGGATTTGAGGAGGTTGCGGGGGATAATAAGACCGCATCGCAATTGAGATGGAGCTGGTCAGACCAGCAGAGTAGAGCGGGTTTGGTGCATTACTAGTACAAGTTCCGAAGGCAATTGCCGTTGTAGGAACATCATTTTGTGACGGGTTCACCACTGTCAGTACCTGTTAAATCTAATTGAGAGATCATCGACTCGGAGACGTAGATCATGTAAGTACTACTTAGATTTGCGGGGTTCGCCTATCGTTCATTTCTTGGGCAGTCTGGTCTACGTGTGGCCCCAGTCACTGGCTGTAGCCGGCGAGTCTAAACTTGGTCTAAACAGATAAGAGAACACGGACTGCCTGGTATACTTACAAGTTGGTGCCTCATACGTAACGTTAGCTACTTACTCTTACTGTGTAGGTTCGTGGCATCCGCGTGGCCCTATATAGGCCCTAACCACGAGCGCCCGCAATTTTGCTCTCAACACTCAAGTACTCACGACTCACGACTCACGCCACATAGCTTGCTTCTCATGAATCGAGCAGCCCAGCTTGATAAACGTTTCAACGACATTCTCAGAGGCAAAGTCCCTGCCGATGCGCGAAGCTACCCTCTCTTATTGGAAGCGATTTGTACACAGCAAGACCCTGCGGCATGCATCAACAAAATCGTTGAGAGCTCCCATGGCTCAAACGCGGTTCAGGCTGCCATGCGTCACAATACCAGTTCCCAATTCCTCAACGACACTGCAACCAAGCTTCTGTTATATCTCTTCCGAGCACCGAACCTCGGTGATGTCTTAGACCACTTGCTCACCGCCATCGTTGATCCCCCAATTTTTTGGAGTGCCTTCAGCCAAGCATTCGATCAAGGTAAGCTCAATGAGCCAGCCCAGGAAGCATTCGCGGTGCTCCTCCTTCGCCTCATGTCCCTAACTACGGGGAATACGTCATCATACCGTGACGTCGCAAAGAAGCCTAGTATCCTTACAAGGCTTCTCAATTCATCGCAACAGACCGTCAAAGACATTGGCTACCGCATCGAACATATTCTTTCCACCCCCGAGTCCGGCGTACTTGTCACTGCAGTCGGTGAACCTGGTGGTCGGCATGATAACGATTTCGTCGACTTCAGGGAGATCTCCATTCTTCCAACTGCAGACGAGATCCTCTGCCAGCAGCCTCCTTTCATTCGCCCGAGCAGTGTATTGGAGGATCCTGATGGCGAAGAAACTCGTACAGCTGACTACTTGGACAACACCTTCCGCTTGCTGCGCGAAGACATGTTATATGAGATAAAAGAAGAGCTCCAGACCGTTTTGGGACGGAAGAAAGGGCGCTATCGTGGGCTTACCATCGATGGCGTCACACTCGAGGGTGTTTATAGCGGTACAGATGATAGAAAGACTCGGTGGGGCATCAAGCTTAAATGCCGAGACGATTTCAAGTCGATGAAGGATCTTTCCGAAAAGAAGCGCAAGTCTTATCTCGAAAAGGATCCTGCGGGCGTCAGAATTCTCAAACATCAGTCTCTTGTTTGCATACTTTCAGGAAATCAAATCATCAGTCTCGCAAGTGTTCACCGCGTGGAGGCACTGCTTGCGCAGAAGCCACCTGTTATCGTGCTTCAGCTGGAAGGGGAGGCTAGCATCGCAAAGACTCTCCTTCAGCTGCAGTCATCGGATACCATTCGGCTCATTCAGATCGACACTGCAATTTTTGCCTTCGAGCCAGTCTTGAAGGCTCTGCAGAACACGCAGTTCATTCCGCTTTCGGAGGAGCTCCTGTTCTGGAAGGACGGGAACCTCGTTGGCGGCGCTTCGGTGACTGCGACTCAGGTCACGCGACCACTCGCTATGAATCCCTCTGTGAATTTGCAGCGGCTCCTGGGGACTTCATCTAGTATTGTGCTTGATAAGTCTCAGGCGGCATCACTTCTGGCAGGACTCACGCAGAGGCTTTCCCTTATCCAGGGCCCTCCAGGTAGTGTTAATATCGACCGCATATACATATACATTTTGCTGACATGCCATAGGAACTGGGAAGTCATTCATTGGCGCGCTGCTTGCGAAGGCTATCCACGATCACACCGAACAGAAAATCCTTGTAGTCTGCTACACGAACCACGCCCTGGATCAATTCCTGGAAGATCTCATGAAGATCGGTATCCCGGAGACTAACATGATCCGTCTTGGCAGCAGAGCAAACGCGCAGGTCGCCCATCTTGGCATTGCGGGGAATAAAGAGCGTTTCATCCGATCCAAAGCTGATTGGGCTATCATCAACAAGCTGAAGAGGGCGTCGAGTGTTCACTGCAACAATCTAGAGGACGCCATGGATAGGTTCATAGCCTCGAAGATGGGGTTCAAGGACGTCCTCACGTACATCGAGATGGAGGACTCGAAATACTTTGATGCATTCCACGTCCCTGAATATGACGATTCAGGAATGACTCGTGTCGGCAAGGGCGGCAAAGCAGTCTCTTCGGAGGAACTCATCTCTAGATGGTCTGGAGGATCTAACGCTGGGCAGTTCAAAGACGAGCTTAATGTACGTGAGGCGGCTGATATCTGGAAGATGTCTGCGGACGCTCGCCAGAGCATGATGGAGAAATGGAGGTCGGAGATACGCAATTCAATCCTCGAGGAAATTTGCACACTTGGCAAGAGTTACAACGAGTGCCAGGATCAACTGACATGCAAATTTGGGGAATCCACTGTGGCGACCCTCATGGGGAAGAGAATCATTGCATGTACGACGACTGGAGCAGCCAAGTTGGCAAAAGACATTCGTGCGGCGAAACCTGATATCCTTCTCGTTGAGGAGGCTGGTGAGATTCTTGAAAGTCACGTCCTTACTGCCATGGGTGAGAATACAAGCCAGATGATTCTCATCGGCGACCACAAGTACGCGAGTCATTGGCAATTTTTGGGACATCGCACTGAAGTTGACTCTCCACAGGCAATTACGTCCCAAAGTCAACAACTACAAGCTGACTGTTGAAAAGGGCGACGGCTTTGAACTCAACAGATCACTCTTTGAACGCCTGGTTCTTATGGGCTTCCCTCATCAAACACTGACAGCCCAACATCGTATGCGTCCGGAGATCTCAGCGTTCATCAGGAAGCTCACGTACCCCGACCTCACCGATGCTGCCAAGACCCAGGGCCGTGATGACATTCGCGGTATCCAGAACAACATCATCTTCATTGACCACACTCATCCCGAGGATAACGACCCTCGTATTTCCGACCCAGGCGATGGGGCCTCGTCGAAACAGAACACCTATGAAGTCGAAATGGTTTGGAAGATCGTACGCTATCTTGCCCAGCAAGGCTATGGGACGGACAAGCTGGTCGTTCTCACAGCCGTATCTTGGGCAGCTCTCAAAGCTTCGAGATGTCCTGAAGAGGGACAATGACCCTGTGCTCAATGACCTCGACTCGCACGATCTCATCCGCGCTGGACTTATGTCCCCAACTGACAATACGTCCAAGAAGTGCATCAGGCTTGCCACCATAGGTATGTTTCTGCCACTCGACTTATAGCTAACATCTAACGTTTTGAACAGATAACTATCAGGGCGAAGAGAGTGATATTGTCATCGCTACCCTGACAAGGTCTAATGCGTCCAACGACATCGGTTTCATGAACTCCCCTGAACGTCTGAACGTGCTCATCTCCCGGGCTCGAAATGGATTCATCCTGATCGGGAACTCGCAGACCTTTGTGAATGCTCGGAGGGGTAAAGAGCTCTGGGGAAATTCTTCGAGCTCATCAAACAAGGCGGCTACATGTACGAAGGTTTCCCGATCAAATGTGAACGTCACCCAGATCGAACGGTGCTCATGAAATCTGCGTCTGAATTTGATACTCTTTGTCCCGATGGCGGATGCACAGAGATATGGTAAGAATTCAGAATCGATAAACATTGTTCCTACTCACAATGTCTCCAGCGACACCATGCTGAACTGCGGTATGCATCATTGCCCGCTAAAATGTCATCAGATCTCGGATCATTCGCAAATGCCTTGTCAACACCCGTACTCCGGCATATGTACTGCTAATCGCCACAAGCTGAAGTGGAAATGTTGTCAGTCGAAGCCAGACCCTTGTCCTGACTGTACTAAAGAAGCCAAACGTGCGGAGGAGAAGCGACAACGCGAACTCGAGCTGAAGCAGAAGCTAGAAGAGGAGGAGATGGAACGTCTGATACAACGTGAACAGGAGCAGTTGGAGCACGACTTACGCATGGCTGAGTTGGATGCCGAGCTTAAGGCGGAGACAGATGCGATAACTGACGCCCAGGTTGCACGGCAGCGGGCAAATGTCTTGCAACAGAAAACTAAGGATATCGAGGCGGCCAGAGCCCATGCACAGAAGGCGGCTGCAAATACGCAGGCGCACGCTGACGCTTCCCGTTTTGCTTCATCGTCCAGGTCGACAAACCCCACAACTTCCTCCATCTCATACTCCCAAGGCAGTGTGCCACCGATTCCGGATCAGCCAGGCAAAGCGAAGCGGTTACCAACTCAAAGCAACCAGCCTCGGTCTACCAATGATGTTCAGCGTGACTCAGGAATTGGCGATGCTTTCCGGAGGCAGATGGAGGCAGATAAAGCTGCAGCGCTGGAAGCTCAACGGAACGCAATTGAGGAGGTAAAGAGGCGTGACGCTGAATCGAGTAGAGCTGCCGCAAGGCAGCGAGCTGCGGAGGCTGCAGCTCGGGCTCTTGCTGAGCAGAATCAGAGGGCACGCGACCAGGCTAAGAAAGAACAACTCTTGCGCCAGTGCGAAACACTCTGGCAGCAGCAAGAAACAGACCGACGCCAAGAGGCAGAGGCGAAGGCAGCAAGGGAGAAAGCTGCTGCTTCACTCGTTCGAATGCGTCAGGAGCAAGAGAGGAAGCAACGCGAAGAACTCGCTGAACAGATTCAGAGGGCACGAGAGGCTGAGCAAGAACAACTCTGGCACCAGCAGGAAGCAGCTCGACGCCGAGAGGCAGAGATGAGGGCAGCAAGGGAGAGAGCTGCTGCTTCACTCGTTCGAATGCGTCAGGAGGAAGAGAGGAAGAAACGCGAAGCACTTGCTGAACAGACTCAGAGGGCACGAGACCAGGCTGAGCAAGAACAACTCTCGCGCCAGCACGAAACACTCTGGCGCCAGAAAGAAACAGTCCGACGCCAAGAAGCAGAGGCGAAGGCAGCAAGGGAGAGAGCTGCTGCTGCACACACTCAGGAGCAAGAGAGGAAGAAACGCGAAGAAGAGAGCACACAAGGCTACCAATGGATCAAACAAGTATTGCCCGGGTGGCTATCATTTTTCTGATTCCCAGGTTCCCTACTTCTGCGTACAATATCCAACTTTGATTTACGACTCCGAGACATGACTCCCCCGCAAAGGATCCATGTCAACGTTCACTGCTTTTCTGAACTTGGGGTTTCCTTACGCCTCTTTGCCATGTTTTTTGTGCTCCTGTAGACGCTGTTTTTCCAATCACCGTTTATTGTTCGTTGCCACGATGCCCTATGTTGGACGAACATACATATGTTGCGATGTGCTGTATAATGCTGGATCCTTATACGCGTCACTGTTAACTTGGTGCTGTACTAGTGTTTTCTGCGTTCAATAGCCTGAGGTAGATTTACTATCGAACACCAAAGCACACTGAATGAAAGCGATTAATCGATTATATCCGGGGGTTTTGTCCGTCAAAAAATAGATAACATGTCAATGATTTAATTATGCTACTAGTAGTACCGATAGCAAGTAGCACAAGTCCCACTTGTCGATTTATCGTAAGCTTAGCACATCATCCTCAACGCCTTTGACTCAATAGAACTACTTTGAACAATCAAGATACTTGGCAGTTGCATCCACTAGGTGTCCCCGTCGCCCTCTGTTCCAACTCTTCACCTCTTCCGCGGCCACTCCTGCTTCTCGAAGCAATACTGTATCCACTTGAAACATCCCGCAACCATGAAATCAGCAAAACACGGAGTATCGCCCGATATAAATTGACCGTTGTTCTTCGCATACCATCCGTCCACAGTATTACATGCAGCCCGCAATACATTCCACTGTTCCTCTCTCTTCTCGGGCGGTGCAAACTGCTCCCATGGAATGTGGTGTCCAAGACTCCAAATAGCCTCAAACGCTACTGGCAATCTAATCAAGGGCAGTAAAAGTTCCGAAGGCAATTCCCGTGTGACCAGAGATCATTATCGTTGACTCGGAGACGAGTCTGGTCTACATAGTATGACCTTTTTTTGCCCTAGTCAGGTACTGTATAATTTCGACCTTAGGTTCGTCACACTGTAGCTAGCTTGATGACCGAAACCTATTTTTTGTGACATAACATATGATATGTTTGTTTTGAGATATGTTTTTTTTAGGAAAACATTCACCTAACCACTTTTTCCACTCCTTATTGTCATTTTTGAGCTATACTGGTGTAGAAAGTATATATATTATCCTACTGAACATGTATATATGAACCTTATGAACTTATTTTAAGTTTGTCACAGCTGTCCTCGAGAGACGACCTGTCACAAAGCCATTAGGTAATGCAGTGCAGAACCTCCCACGAAACCTAAGGTCGAAATTATACCGTATGTCATCGTGAAGATATTGCAAATTGCGGGCTATGTACAAATAATATAATACTAACTGGTGCTTGTGCGGATCCTGCTTGTTGTTGTTCGATCCCACGCGTCATTCTGACGCTCAAACCCCAATATTCAACGTTGCGTTTTTGTCTTCACTACCACCATCACTGAAGTACACCAATGTCTGACCGACGAGCTACCCAGCTTAACAATGATTCTATGATGTTCTCAGGGGCGAAGTCCCCGTACAACCACGAACCTGCCACTTGTTTCTTGATGCAATATGTTCCCAACCAGATGTTGTGGTGTGCGTAAGTAAGATAGTAGGATATCAAAAAGGACCATCGTTCGTGCAGGAAGCGATGCGATTGGACTTGTCGCAGGAGTTTATGAATGGGACTGGCACTAATGTTCTTGTATATCTCCTTCAGGCCACAAACATCAGCAACAATGTGCTAGATCACTTGTTTGTCCAGATTGTTGAACCAGATTTCTTCTGGTCAGCGTTTAGTCACGCTTTTGCTCGTGGAGAGCTCCTCGAAAAAGGACAATTTGCCTTCGCTAGCCTCCTCCTTCGGCTGCTGACCTCTCAAATTACGATATGGCACCTTATCTCGAACTAGCGGGTAGGCCAAATGTGCTCTCCAAACTTACCAGCTCTACAAAATTGGAGGTCCGGCTGATTGGAGAGAAGATTAAGCATATCCTTTCAACGTATGGCTCATCAGCCCCTCCTTCGGCTGCCAATGGCCCAGGCGGACGACATGACAATGATCTTGTCAATTTTCGCGACATTGCTATCCTTCCCACATCCGATGAAATTTGATCCAAACAGTCACCATTTCTGCGCCATAGCTCGGAGTTAGAGGACGCATCTGGAGAAAGCACTCGTATCGCGGATTATCTCGACAATACATTTCGTCTTCTTCGCGAAGACATGATAGCAGAGATGTGGGAGGAACTTCAGGCGTTTGAAGGAAAAAACATTAAGCGCCGCTGCGCTAACCTGATAGACTGGTGTCATATTGAAAGGGGTTTACTATGGCACTGACGATCGTAAAATGCTGTGGGGAATAACATTGGAGTGTGTTGAGGACCTGCCGTCTCTGAAGCACATTCCTCCGAAGGACAGGAAAACATATCTCACAGATGATCATACTGGCTCCAAGATCCTTCGTCACCAGTCATCAGTTTGTGTGGTGGCCGATGGGGAAGTGGTCGGCTTTGGCACTGTGAACCGAGTGGAAGATCTCTTGGTCCGCAGCCCTCCTATTGTTGTCATTCAACTAGACGGGCGGGCGAGTACAAGTAGAACAATCCTCCAGCTCCATAATGCCAAAGACGTGAAGCTCCTACAGATCGACACCACTCTTTTTGCCTTCGAGCCGGTGCTCAAGGCATTGCAGAAGATGCAGCACATCCCAGTATCTGATGAGCTGCTGTTCTGGAAGTGTGGTACCACTCTGCAGAGGCCCCTGCAGATGGCAGATGCCATCATCGCAGCCATTGAAGCCAACCATTCTGGAAACTTGCAACACTTGCTTCAGACTCCCAACCCCATAAATCTAGATTGCTCGCAAGCATCTTCTATTCTTTCTGGCCTGACACAGAAGGTATCCTTGATACAGGGTCCTCCAGGTGTGTTCTTTTACACTGTGGATGCTAAGTAAACGCTTATGTGACGGATCAGGGACCGGAAAATCGTTTGTGGGTGCCCTCTTAGCCAAAGCTCTGCACGACTTCACGGATCAAACAATTCTTGTCGTGTGTTATACCAATCATGCTCTAGATCAGTTTTTAGAGGATCTTCGCAAAATTGGCATTCCTGACGATAACATGGTCCAACTTGGGGGCAGAGCCACACCACAGCTCGCGCATCTCAACCTCTTCAGTCCTTGCCAGAGAACCTCCCAGCCCCTGCGGTCCAAGGCTGATTGGACGATGATTGATGAATTCAAGAACAGACTTCAGTTTCACTGTAGTCGGCTTGACAAGTCTGTTGCGGAGTTCGTGGCAAACAAGATTTGTTATGAGGACATCTTAATGCATATTGAGTTCAAGGACGAGGATTATTTTGAAGCTTTTCGTGTTCCCAAGTCAGATGACGGCATGACGGTCATAGGCCGACGAGGTCGGGAGGTTGACCCAACGTATCTCATAGTGCTATGGCAGAGGGGCGGACATGATGTGGGCATCTTCAAGAATGCAGCTAACCTGCGGACGAACGAAACAACCCGCGTTTGGGCCACTCCCTTGCCTGTCCGCCAAACCTTGATGGCGAAATGGAGGCACGACCTTCAGGAGGAGATGGTAGATGATATTGGTGCTGTTGGCCAAGATTACAATACCTGTCAAATGCAACTCAGCCAGAAGTTTGGCGAATCATTGGTTGCGACGCTCAAGGCTAAAAGGATCGTTGCATGTACAACAACGGGTGCTGCAAAATTTACTGAAGACCTCTGAACTGCCACTCCCGATGTTGTCCTTGTGGAGGAGGCTGGAGAGATTTTGGAGAGCCATATCCTGACCGCCCTTGGTGAAAACACCAATCAGCTTATCCTTGTCGGAGGACCACAAGTATGTTTCCATCACTGCCCTTAACGCCTTGTTCTGAGTTATGTATTTAGGCAGTTGAGACCAAAAGTCAACAGTTACGCCCTCCAAGTCGAGAGTGGCCAAGGATATGACTTGAACAGGTCGCTTTTCGAGCGCCTTGTTCTGAAAGGATTCCCCCACACTACTCTCACCCAGCAACACCGCATGCGGCCCGAAATCTCCACACTTGTTCACGAACTCACATACCCCGAACTCACTGATGCCGCTGGCACTCACGGCAGAGACGATATTCGTGGTGTCCAAGATAACATCATTTTCCTCAACCATGCTCACCCCGAGGACGGTGATATCAAAGTCAGTGATCGCAGCGATCCTGGTTCTGTAACTTCAAAACAAAACTCCTACGAAGTCAGCATGGTTCTGAAGATTGTCCGGTACCTTGCTCAACAAGGTTATGGAACAGATAATATTGTCGTCCTAACGCCTTATCTTGGGCAACTCTACAAGCTTTGGAAAGCTCTCAGGACAGACAATGACCCGGTGTTAAACGACCTCGACTCTTATGACTTGGTCCGTGCAGGGTTGCTCTCTCCTGACACTGCAAAGGCATCCAAAAGAAAGATAAGACTGGCTACCATAGGTATGAACTCCAACAGAATTAATGCCTGACGGTGACTGACTGGAGCAGACAATTATCAGGGAGAGGAAAGTGATATCGTGGTTGCTAGCTTGACACGATCGAATCCTGATGCTGCTATCGGCTTTATGAAGTCCCCTGAACATTTGAATGTCCTCTTGTCTCGTGCCCGGAATGGTTTCATTCATATTGGCAATATGGATACGTTCCAGAGCAAATCCCCTCTTTGGAGCGGTCTATTTGATCTTCTCAAACAGGCGTCACACATCTATGAAGGGTTTCCCGTCAAATGCGAACGTCATCCTGCGCGGAAAGCCATTCTGCGAGACACCAACGATTTCGATGAGCAATGTCCTGATGGAGGTTGTGTGGAGCCTTGGTGGGTGTTTTCTCGACAACATTTGGGTAGCCCGCTGACCTTGCTGCCTTCAGTGGTACTATGCTTAGTTGCAGCGTGCACCCTTGTCCTTCGAAGTGTCATCAATTTGTTGATCACTCCAAAGTGCTTTGTCAACAGTCATTATTTGGGAAATGTGCGGCGGATGTCCACAAAGTTTCATGGAAGTGTCATCGAGGGCCTCCCACAAAATGCACACCATGTGAGAAGGATGCAGCGTGGGCTGAAAAGCAATTACTGTGTGATGCAGCACTCCAGGAGAAACGTGATCTCGAGCAAGCTGCTCATGATACCCAAATGGCTGAAATGGACGCAAGGCTTAAAGTTGAGGCCGACGCTATTGCAGATGCCAATACTGTGAAGCAGAGAGAGGCTATGATCAAGCAGAAGGAACGAGAAATTCAAGAGGCAAAAGTTCATGTGCAGAAAACTGCAGGTTCCTCAATGGACGGCAGTGCAAACACATCTGAACCATCATCCTCTTTCACACAGAAATCCTCTAATCCTTTGTCTGCTCCTTCACAACCTCCCGACCAACAAAACTCTGCCGCTCGTGATGACTGGGAGTCACAGAAGAGGCTCTTGGGCGAGCAGAACAACGCGATTGATAGCATCATGGCAATGACTGGACTGGAAGGAGTGAAGTCGCAAGTCTTAGAAACCAAGGAGAAGCTAGACTTGATGAAACGCCAGGGAACCCCAGCAAACAAGGAGCGTCTGAATCTTGCGCTCTTGGGAAATCCAGGGACAGGTGAAAGCCTTCCTTTGAAATAATCTATTTGCGCTCAGTGCATGGTAACTTTCCCGCAGGGAAGACAACGGTCGCGAGGCTGTATGCTCAGTTTATCGAATCAATCCAAGTGCTTCCAGGGAACGCATTCAAGGAGACAACAGGAGCGAGTCTGGCACATGACGGTGTCGGTGGTGCAAAGAAGCTCATTGAAGATGCTGAAACTCGGCGGTGGTGCCATATTCATCAATGAGGCCTATCAGCTAGTTAGTGGACAGAGTGGTTCCAGTACCGACGTTCTCGACTATCTGCTAGCGGAAATGGAGAACTGGGTTGGAAGCCTGGTTTTCATCCTTGCTGGGTACAGCCGTCAGATGGAGAAATTCTTCAATCATAATCCAGGTCTTCCAAGTTGTGTCCCGCATAGATTCACCTTCGAGGACTACAGCGACGAAGACCTCCTTGACATGCTCGCTGATCTGGTGGATAAACAATATAGAGGCCAGATGAAGGTCGAAGATGGCATTCGAGGTCTCTATAGTCGAATTGCAGTCCGACACCTAGGCCGTGGTTGCGGCTGCGAAGGCTTTGGCAATGCCCGTGCACTGCAAAACATGTTTGCTGCAGATACGCCAGCGACAAGCTGCGAGGGTAGGAAAAGAGCGCAAGAATGGATCATCACCAGACAATTTCTTGCTCGTTAAGGAGGATCTCATTGGTCCCAATCCGGACACTGTTCTTCCGCACTGCCCTTCGTGGATAAAGTTGCAAAAGCTTACTGGTCTTGAATCCATGAAGCAATCTGTCAGCAACCTCTTCAATCTCATCAGGACAAACTATCATCGCGAGTTGGCAGAAAAGCACCCTCTCGACATGGCCCTTAATCGGGTTTTTCTTGGCTCCCCAGGGACTGGCAAGACCACCATCGCCAAACTCTATGGTCAAGCGCTAGCAGACCTAGGGCTTCTTAGTAACGGTGAAGGTTCGGTGTTCTGCTGACGAATGTTCGAGGATTATTACCTGACTGTCGTCTTTAGTCGTGATGAAGAATCCTTCAGATTTCGTCGGACAACATCTTGGGCACTCTGAACAGAACACTAAGGCCATCTTGGAGAGCACCATCGGAAAAGTCCTGGTCATTGATGAGGTGGGTATACATCTCCGCCTCCACCTTGTGGTTCTCACTGTCTTGTTAGGCATACATGCTACACAGTAAGAATGGTGGTGCCCAGGACCCCTACAAGACCGCTGTCATCGACACCATGGTTGCAGAGATACAAAATGTGCCGGGGGATGATCGTTGTGTCTTACTTTGGGATACAAAGAACAGATGGAGGACATGTTCAAGGCAGGTCACCTACGACTTCATGATAAATGACTGACTAACATGTGTTGGATCAGGACGTTAATCCTGGCTTTGCTCGGCGCATTGCGATTGAGGATGCTTTCATGTTTGAAGACTTCACCGAGCCCCAGCTACAGGAAATATTTGAATGCAAGCTAAAGGATCAAGACCTCGGCGCAACAGAGAAAGCAAAACAAGTAGCCATGGGTGTTCTGAGCCGAAGAAAGAACCGTCCGAACTTTGGAAATGGAGGAGAAGTGGAAAATATGCTGACTTTGCGAAACGATCGATATCTAAAGTGACAGGACATCAACACCTTCCCATCTGTCTCTGGATATTATCTTCGAACCAGAAGACTTTGACCCTAAGTGGGACCGCGATCAGCACTGCTGCGGCAAACTTGGCTCAGTTGTTTGAAGATATGGTTGGATGTGAAGCCGTTATCCAGAAGCTGGGAGATTATCAGAACATGGCTCAAGGGATGAAAGCATTCGGGACTGGATATGCGCAAGCAAATTCCTACCAGCTTCATTTTCAAGGGACCCCCTGGTAATCAAATCACGTCCAATGTTGTTCATGTGTTAATGCCTTCTCCTCAGGAACCAGAAAGACAACCATCGCAAGGAAATTCGGTCAAGTTTATTATGACATGGGCTATCTGGATGCTAAAACCTCGAAGAGTACTCACCAGTTCCTGGATTACCAAGCAAAACAAGATTGAGGCGCTCCTTGTTCACGGGGACGCCTTGTCGTTTCATCAAGTCAATATGGGCCTTGATACGGAGTACTTGTGCTTTCACTTCCTCAAGCCCTGTCAACTCCATGATACTGTCGATGGTGCTATTTTGTTCGCCATTGACTCGCTTCTGGTACAACCAATCCTGGTGGGCAGGCGACGTGGATGCTGCATTGTTCGATGACGTCGAGGAAGGTCCACTTTGTTGAGACTTTGATTGCTGGGAATTCGTCTGTGAAGTCGAAGGTTTTGTGCTTGGCTGCGGATTCAGCGATGACAACAGAGGATTAGGATTTGGTGGAGGAACGTTTGACTGTGGATTGGATGGAGGTGTGGGAGGTGCGGAAGGTGCGGAAGGTGCGGAAGGTGCGGAAGGTGTGGGGTGTGTCCTGGATGACGAAGCAGAATGGGCAGTGTTGGCGTGTGCCTGTGCATTTACAGCCGCCTTCTGTGCGTTGGCTCTAGCTGCCTCGATATCCTTGATTTTCTGTTGGTAGACATTGGCTCACTGCTGTGCAACCTGGGTGTCAGCTATCGCATCCATTTCCGCCTTGAACTTGGCATCCAGCTCAGCCATGCGTAAGTCGTGCTCCAACTGCTCCTGTTCACGTTGTATCAGACGTTGCAGTTCCTCCTCCGCTAGTTTCTGTGTCAGCTCAAGTTCGCGTTTTCGCTTCTCCTCCGCACGATTGGCTTCTTTGGTACAGTCAGGACAAGGATCTGGCTTTGACTGAAAACACGAGGCCCCGTCGCCTCAGTCGGCAATACGAGGGTCGTTATCCTTGGGATGGGTGTGGTCGATGAAGACGAAGTTGTTCTGGATCCCGCGAATGTCATCACGGCCCTGGGTCTTGGCAGCATCGGTGAGGTCGGGGTACGTGAGCTTCCTGATGAACGCTGAAATTTCCGGATGCATACAGTGTTGGGCTGTCAGAGTTTCATGAGGGAAGCCTCTGAGAACCAGGCGCTCGAACAGTGATCTGTTGAGTTCAAATCCATCGCCCTTTTCAACAGTCAGCTTGTAGTTGTTGACTTTGGGACGCAGCTGCCTGTGAAGAACCAACATCAGCAGGATATCCCAAAGATGACCATTGGCTCACGTACTTGTGATCGCCAATGAGAATCATCTGACTGGTACTCTCACCCATTGCAGTGAGGACGTGACTTTCGAGAATCTCACCAGCCTCCTCAATGAGAAGGACATCAGGTTTCGCCCCACGAATGTCTTGTGCGAACTTGGCTGCTCCAGTCGTTGTGCATCCAATGATTCTCTTCCCCATGAGGGTTGTGACCATCCCTTCTCTGAATTCACGTGTCAGTTGATCTCGACATTCGTTGTAGTTCTTGCCAAGTGTGCAAATCTCTTCGAGGATGGTTTTGCATATCTCCGACTTCCATTGCTCCAACATCTTCCGACGAGCGTCTAGAGGCATACCCCAGATATCAGCCGCCTGACGTACGTTGGGCTCGTCTTTGAACTGCCCAGCGCCAAATCCTCTGGACCACTGAAAGATGAGTTCTTCAGCGTCGACTGGTTTGCCCTTCTTGCTGACACGAGTCATTCCTGAATTATCTTCAGGTACGCGGAATGCATTAAAGAAGTTCGGTTCCTCGAACTCGATGTACATGAGGACGTCCTTGAAGTCAATCTTGGAGGCTATGAACCTGTCCATGGCGTCCTCTAGAGAGTCGCAGTGAAATCCCGATGAATTCTTCAGGTTGTCGATGATAGTCCAATCAGCTTTCGATTGGGTGACACGCTCTTTCTTCCCCGCAATGCCAAGATGGGCGACCTGCGCGTTTGCTCTGCCCGCCGAGACGGGCAATGTGAGTGTCAGGGATACTGATCTTCATGAGATCTTCCAGGAATTGATCCAGGGCGTGGTTCGTGTAGCAGACTACAAGGATGTTCTGTTCGGTGTGATCGTGGATAGCCTTCGCAAGCAGTGCGCCAATGAATGACTTCCCCAGTTCCTAGGGCATGTCAGCAAAATGGATATGCATAGGCAGTAGAGATTAACACTACCCTGGAGGGCCCTGGATAAGGGAAAGCCTCTGCGTGAGTCCTGCCAGAAGTGATGCCGCCTGAGACTTATCAAGCACAATACGAGATGAAGTCCCCAGGAGCTGCATGCAAATCCACAGAGGGATTCATAGTGATGGGTCGCATGATCTCAGTCGCAGTCACCGAGGTGCTGCTGATAAGGTTCCCGTCCTTCCAGAACAGAGCTCCTCCGAAAGCGGAATGAACTGAGTGTTCTGCAGAGCCTTCAAGACCGGATCGAAGGCAAAAATTGCAGTGTCGATCTGAATGAGCCGAATGGGATCGGATGACTGCAGTTGAAGGAGAGTCTTTGCGATGCTAGACTCCCCTTCCAACTGAATTATGATAACAGGTGGCTTCTGCGCAAGCAGTGCCTCGACACGATGAACCGTCGCGAGACTAAGAATTTGATTTCCCGAAAGTATGCAAACAAGAGACTGATGTTTGAGAATTTTGACACCCGCAGGATCTTTCTCGAGGTAATGCTTGCGCTGCTTGTCGGGGACATTCTTCATGACTTGAAATGTCTTTGCATTTGAGCTTGATGCCCCACCGAGTCTTTCTATCATCTGTACCGCTGTAAACACCCTCGAGTGTGACGTCATCAATGATGAGCCCACGATGACACCCTTTCTTCTTCCCTAAAGCGGGCTGGAGTTCTTCTCTCATCTCATGTAACATCTCTTCGCGCAGCAAGCGGAAGGTGTTATCCAGGTAGTCAGCTGTACGAGTTTCTTCGCCATCAGGATCCTCCAATACACTGCTCGGGCGAATGAAAGGAAGCTGCTGGCAGAGGATCTTGTCTGCAGTTGGAAGAATGGAGATCTCCCTGAAGTCGACGAAATCGTTATCATGCCAACCACCAGGTCCACCGACTGCAGTGGTAGGTGCACCGGAATTGAAGGTGGAAAGAATATGTTTGATGTGGTAGCCAATGTCTTTGATGGTCTGTTGCGATGAATTGAGAAGCCTTGTAAGGATACTAGGCTTCTTTGCGACGTCATGGTATGATGACGTATTCCCCGTAGTAGGGACATGAGGCGAAGGAGGAGCACCGCGAATGCTTCCTGGGCTGGCTCATTGAGCTACCTTGATCGAATGCTTGGCTGAAGGCACTCCAAAAAATTGGGGATCAACGATGGCGGTGAGCAAGTGATCCAAGACATCACCGAGGTCGGTGCTCGGAAGAGATATAACAGAAGCTTGGTTGCAGTGTCGTTGAGGAATTGGGAACTGGTATTGTGACGCATAGCAGCCTGAACTGCGTTTGAGCCATGGGAGCTCTCTACAATTTTGTTGATACAGGTTGCAGGGTCTTGCTGTGTACAAATCGCTTCCAATAGAGAGGGTAGCTTCGTGCATCGGCAGGGACTTTGCCTCTGATAATGTCATTGAAACGTTTATCAAGCTGGGCTGCTCGATTCATGAGAAGCAAGCTATGTGGCGTGAGTCGTGAGTGCTTGAGTACATGAGTGTTGAGAGCAAAATTGCGGGCGCTCGTGGTTAGGGCCTATATGGCCACGCG